TAGACATGTCGAAAGCGATCATGAGCACCGACAATGATCCTGCAGAGACCCTATACTCTTCAGAACTTCACCCTTTTCTGTGTTCTCATGTGACAAATATGGGTCCCGAGGGTGGGTTCTTAGTGGCTTGGAAACTAGACCGTGGGGATAAGACCCTTGAAAAGTAATACCAAAACCCTCAGATAGAATCCTTCATGCGGTGACTAGTGATTTGTACTGTCATGAACTGCCAAGGGGTGAAAGTATTCAGTGAACAAGAGTGAGAGAGATGAATGGTACGGTTTCTAAGTCAAGATGGTACAGCTTTTAGGAGTGAAAGAACTGGGTGATGAATCCAAGGGTGAAAGACTTATGATGGTACGGTTTCTAAGTCAAGAGAGCATGAACACTATGAACGACACGGCTTTTCTGCGCCCTTTCACGAGAACCGAACGAAACGCTTTCTTCTCTCTCTTCCGTGACAGACAAGAACCTTGCTTCCAAAAATGATTCGTACCAAATTACGAGGTTACTCGTGAATCCCTTTTCATGCGGCTATCATTCTTCGATATCATCTAGGCAAGATTCGCACACCCAGAGCTGCTGTCCCCACGCATTTCATTTTGTCAGCAGGGACAAGTACCATCATCGAGGGGCCATTCAGTTGATTAAGATCACATCCTCGCCCATGGCCGCCGGCAACCACTGTCCCGCAAGCTGCTCCTGCATGGAAATTCACGCCTAAGGGAATTGCTGAAACCCTGTGGCGCAAAGAGTGCTCCTGGAATCCAGCGAGTCACTCGATTGCTGCCGCCCTCCTTAACACGAAACGAAGCCAAGCACATGCGAAACGCAGCAGATGAACATGGGTATACCATGCGCACGCAAAGCCGCGTCACAGAGGTTCCGCATGAAGCATCGTTCAGTCCTGTTGGAATTATTCTGTAACGTATGAAAATTGTTCGCGAACAATACATCGACCGCAAGGCAAAGCACATAAATGCGTACAAATTAACAGCTCTTTGTTCATCACTTCAACGGCTCGCTTGTTCACCTTTCACCCCTGGATCCATAACCTTAATGTTCTCAATCCCGTCCCCACCGACATGCTGGCTGAACCCTCAAATGCGTGCCGGGCTGGGCGACACACAGCTCCAAAAACAACTACACTATGCCTGGCATCGGCGACGTAGACACTGCCATCTGCTGCATCAAAGCAAAGTCCGCTTGGGGTCTCCAGCTCCGGCAGTGAGCCCACACCGCCGACAACGACATTACAGCGTGTCTGGCCAGGTGTCCAGCGACTCACGCGGTGATTGCCAGCCTCTGCCACCAAAACGCTGACTCCATCCCTTGTTTCTTGCAGACAGATTGCGGTGGGCGACGCCAGTTGCTCAAGCGCATCACCCCAGCCCCTGCCACCTGCGATGACTTGACACGTCTTGTCCTTCCAGCGGGTCACTCTGTCGTTGCCAAACTCTGCCACATACAAGAAGCCTTCAGAGTCGACAGCTACGTCCACAGGCCGGTCTAACTGATCCAAAGCATCCCCTGGACCGCGCCCGCCTGCGACAATGGCAACATCTCCATCCCTGCAGCAGCCCACGCTATGGCCGCGAACGTCTGCAAAGTAGATCTCACCATGACCACCCAGACAAATGCCACCAGGCTCCTCCATTTCAGTGCAGACCGTTTGACCGCCTGCCGCCAATGCTCCATGCTCCTTTGGGCACCAGCGCGTGACCCGGCGATTCCCAGCTTCCGCAACGTAAAAAATCCCGTGTGCGTCGAAGCAGAGACCCTTGGGCCCTGCCAACTGACCGAGCCGAGAGCCTCGCCCAAATCCCCCCACCACAATCTCAGCTTCTGAAGATCCATCTGGAGCCCAGCGGGTAACACGGTGGTTGTTGACTTCGCTGATGTAGAGCCCTGGAGTTAGCTCGCACCGGTCTTGGGACTTCGATGCTGCGTCCTCCACCACTGCTGTAAACTCCACAAAGTCTGGACGCCCTGCATCGCAGTCCCCATGCTGAAGCACGGCATCCTCGATGGTCAGCGCACTTTGAGACAGCAACCTGAACATGTTGAACATGTCATGTTGATACGCTGGAACTATGGAAATCGTGCTGTCAACGGACCCTGAGAGCATGTGGGGCCACGTGATGCCCTTGTGTAAGCAGGCACAAGATGCAGGAGAGGTGCACGCCGTTCAGCAGCAGTTGAACCTAAGATGCATAAATGTGCTACGCACCCGATGCGATGAAAAAGGCTAGCCGTGTAAGAAGCCTAGCCAAGGCTGTATTGTGAGCGCCTTAATTAAGTTCAGGCAATGTGAGACGCGCTGTTTGCGGAACATATCTGGAGATGTCCCTGCCGCAGATGCAGTTCCGTGGTTTGTCTGTGAATGGAACCTGCAGGTGTGTTCAGCCTTTATCATCCCTGCTCTTTTTGGTGCAGTAGGTGTCGGTTGAGGAATGCGGGATAGCTTGAGCTGCTCGCTGGTTGCCTGGATGCCCCATGCCTTCGCAAGTCAGCAGTCCTTGTGCGTGCAACCTAGTATCGAGGGGTGGCATCCAATGTTTCTGTTCGCAAAATGGTGGCTGAAAATGAGAAGGGGAGTATGATGCTGGGAAAACTTAGCAGGGAACCTCCGACGAAACTCCAGTGATATGTTTGCAGCCCTCACATTAGGCAATACGAAAAAAAAGTCATCGGCTGGTCTGGCAGTGCGACTGCAGAGTGCTCTGAGGTGGTATTGTTCCATCTCACGTGTGGCTGTTCAGATGGGGGTCGGTGTCTGTTTCGCTCCTGCTTCTTGGATGTTGTAGCAGACAGCCGTAAGGTATTTGTACAAGGGCCCTCAGTATGGGCGTGTATGGGCACTTGGGAGCCCTCATATACTACTTATACACCCTATCCCGCCCTCTGGCGGATACTTCAGAACTCCAAGATGGTCAAGGAAGCATTTTGAAGGGACCAGTCGTAGTAACCCTTCGAGCCAATCGTTAACCCTCGGGTCTGACCCACTCGCCTTACAAAGGAAACAGGTTGCCAGAAAGCCAAGTCGCTTTTTTGTCCTGCCCACGCAAGGCAGCCACAAGCTGCTGCAGCTCAGTACACAGAGTTGACGACAGAAGTGCCTTGGCGAGAATTACCTCTCCTGACAAGGCACGAACGCTCACCTCAACCGTCTTGTCACCGACCATCCCAGCGCAAATAGGCTGCGGCCCAGGGCTTGAACTGCGCTGGCTGCAGACAGTTGTGACGGTGTTGAAGTTCAGGGTTTAGGGCCCATTCCTACCATCGAGTGGCAGTGACAGTTGAATGAAGCACACCAAACTTCTGTTTTGCAACCTCACACGATCTTCTTGGCCAGAGGTCGAGTCACCGTCACCACCTTGGGTGAAAGAACAGACAAGCCGCACCCGCTGCGCAACAATGTCACTCTCTTCCCTTCCAAGCAGCCCATCAAAGGCCAGGTTAACTTTCATCTGATGCCAGTCGCCGTACCTTATCAGTTCCACCGTCTGCCAGTCCAACCAGCAATGAGCAATGCGAATGCCAGACTGCTTGTCATGAGTAGGTGCCGAATTGGATCAAGATCATTGCCGTTGTTCAGCAAATACGGTCTGAGCCTTGGCTGTACCACCCACATTTGCTTCCCTCATGGTGATCGGGCGCTCTCACCCAAGCTCCAGGCGGTGCCACCCATGTGTCAGAATCCGGCTGCAAGAAAAGAATGTGGGACCTGATGAGTGCACAGGGAGCCACATGCTTGAGCTTGTCTTCGAGTGCTTTGTGATTGTCGCAGTGCTGGATTGAGGCAAGACCCGTGATACCGAGGTTTCGACTGGCGCACGCCTGCCAGTACTAGTTTCTTCATATGGGCTTTGAGTTTGAGACACGGTATAGCATTGCAAATCTTGTGCATTCTGCTTGCGATTCGATGTGCCAACCTCTTTTGCCAGGGTCAGACCTCATTCTGATGACTTCTTCATGGCAGGCTGCACTTCTACAGAGCTCGGAATTTTCAGCACGCCCCGATACCCAATGCTCGGTGAGTGGCTGTGCTTCCAAGGAGTCCGTCTGCACGTGCACTCGATGGGGCAGCGCCTTACGAGACTTGAAACGCTGCCACTTTGTTAGCCACTTGCATGTTGTACTACACTATATTAACTATATTACACTCCATTCTCTTATTCTGTTCCTCGCTTCTTCGCTTCGGTTCTTGGTTCAACCTTTGGCCCAGCCGATGCTCGGGCTTACAGAAGCCCGATGCTTTCGGCAACTGCCTTACAGAAGCCTACAAAAAGCCAAGCAACGAGTGCCCGTCGCGAAATGCTAAGCGTCTCAGGCTCCAGGTGGGGCCGTTTTAATGGATGAAGTGAGGCGCTGGGACTGGACTTCTAATTCTAGACATGTGGAGAAGGGTTTCTATTCCAAGTAAACTTCAACAAAACTCCCCCCCCCCCAATCTTCACAAGGAATTAGAATTACACTCACCAGCAACAAGCCTGCCTTGATCTGTCCATTTGTCATGCGCTCCAACATGTCTCCGGCCTCGAAAGTTTGAGTCAGCAACCGAAGTTCAGAGTTCTCAATTTTCCAACTCACTCACCCAGCCACTTGTGCCGAGGAATGGTTGCCTTTCGATTGCTGCTGCATTTTCAAAAGGGGCCGGCGAAAAGAAGAGCTCCTCCTTCCGGAGGTTCCTCCAACCTCGGCGTTGCTTGCGCTCAACCTTCCGGGTCCATTGATGGCGGCTTGTCATGCAGCAACAGAACCTGCAAGAAATGGCAAAGACTCTGAGCTCTGTGCACCTGCCACGAGCCATGCGCAAACACCTTGAGTGCTTGCTGAACTCATCGACCCACATCTGCTCACCAGCAGACCAGATTGTCCTTCTGCTGTTTCCCTGGTGTCGCAATGTCGCCTCCAGACCGGGACCGTTGGAAAACTGCAGGGTCACGACGCCGTAGTCCTGGAACCGAATGTTTCTGATGCGGCATTCCCCAGGTACCGGGATGTTGCTGCTGAGCTTCTGTATGTGAAGAGCATGTACCTTCTGCTGGATACACCTAGGGAGTGTAGCACAAAGCTGTAACTTGATGTTTCAATGACAAGCAGGCCCTTCATAAGACTAAGCTTGCAACGCAGTGCCTCAGCCCACTTCGGCCTGGAAGGAACTGCCAGGACACCGCACTAAAGCAACCAGAACACCGCAGCTGAAGCGTGTGTTGGGGCGCGCCCCATTTCTCCCATCCAAGCCGGAGCTTCACACCTTGCGTCTTTGCAGGGCACCAGACCCCTACAGGTCGTCTCTCACAAAACAACCAGCGCACTCTAAAGCGTGCTTCACAGAAGAACAGCATGTGAGAGGCTGGCCTAGCAAGTCACGACTCCCTTGCTCTGCACTGCCTCAGAGAAACATTTCACACAGAGACAGACATTGAGAGACATGATGGGAAGCTGTCAGGTGATCCTGGGCAGCAGAGCAAAGACTTGCAACCTCCGACTCGAACATCTTGGCCACCGCCGCCTTCCGAGGGGCAACTTTCTTCAACTCTCCTGTGTAACGCCTTGAACAAACTCAACTTCTCAGAGCACATCTCTGCACCTTCAGCGCCATGTAGCCCTCTGGAGCCCATTTTAGGTCTCCCCAGTCTACGAACTGCGACTTGGCCTGGTCAATAAGCTCAGCACACTGCTTCCCCCACAAACTCAAAAAAACAAACAGCGGGGGAGCTTTGGGCTTTTTTGAGGCGTGGTTCAGGTGGTTCTGGTTGCTGGACTCTCCGAACCGCACAAAGAGACCCAAGCCAAAACCCTGTCCACAATAAGTCACAGCTCAGGCACAAGCCTTTTCCCAAGCCCGGTAAGCATCTTCCTTCTGCCAGGAACTTCCGCTGAGATTCTGACACTCGACTCCGAAAGTCCAAAGGCACACCGCTTGTCTGGCTCGTGGTACTTCGCCTGAGCTTCTTCAATAAGGTCTGAAAAGAAGTCTGCGCATGCTGGTGACATTGTGCACCATCGTACGATCACGACATCCTGCCTCTCCAAGCAACGTTCGACTTAGATCTTCGCTGCCAGAAAGCCGCAGGTGTCGGTCTAGCATGTCAAGTGCCAGTCAAGGGTTTCAAGGGCTTCACCGAGTTCACTCACATCGACGGGTACACCCGCGCAGAGGCCAGGACCATGAACACACGAGCGTGACTTCCATTTCTTTGTCTTCCAGGTGGCCTGTGGAAGCAAATACACAACAGCCAGTGTATGGACTGGCCGCAAGACTCTGCATACATGAGCAGAGACATCACCACCACGCCTCCAACATCAAATCGTACCATTTGTCGTAGTCAGGCCTTGCCCAGCGCAGGACATGGTTGAGAAAACTTAGGGAGTTCATGCTTGCTTCGGAAGATTGCCCATCAGATAGGCATGCCTCACGGATGCCTCGCCTTCATCACTGGCTCCGGCCTTACACACTTCTGCTTTGGAAGACTAAGCCATGGGTGCATCTTGAGCTGTTTGAGCTGGCTGTGGATGCAGCGTTCTCCCAACCAGGGGACAGATGAACTGCGCCGACAAGAGCCAAGACCTGCTCATGCCATGAATTGTCACGAGTCATGAGCGTCTTGAGTGCCAGGTCGGGTATTTCCCAAAAATAGGGGTACCCCCTAAGGCACCCCAAAATGCTGTAATCATCTGTAATCCTTATTTGGTATCGGAAAGGGCTCTTGGACTCCAGAGGCCTCCAGGAGGTGACCCCGATCCTGGCCGCAAAGGTCCACTTTGGGAACTTGCAGCCGGTGCCTTTCCACAGGGTCGAGAAGGCGCGACTTCTGGGAACAGGCATGAGAGCTCACACTGATCCCTAAAAGTCCATGGCAAGTCGATGCCTCGGCCTCGGAGGTGGAGGGATGCTTCGATTACGAAGCTCCTCAAGCCCGGGTGTGTGCATGGCTTCATGCTCCACTCAGTCCGCCCTGCGTCCAGCTCGGACACAAATCTCTGGCATGCTCCTCCCAGCCGTATTGTCCGGAGCTGGACGCTTCCCACCAGCCCCTTGTGGCAAGACACCATGGGGTTGCATACACATGAGCACACAAAGGAGCACAAGGGCTCCAGCCGCGCAGCGTTGCCGTCTTCGCGACGCTCCTCTCAAGGGCGTGGATCTTAGGCGAGTGATCACGCGAGCTATGGGATTTCTCCGTCCTCGTACCCGTCGTGGCTCCAAGCCCGATGGGCATAGGTAGCGCCACGATGCCCTGAGCGCAACTAAAGTCCAAGCAAGCGGACAAGGCACCGTGAAGACCTGCAAAACACGTAGGCGTGGGGCCTAGCCCCAATTACAACTAGCCCAGCTGGACCCCTCCACACACCCCTGTTGTTCAAGCTGACGGTTGGTAACATCTTCCGCTAGCTGGGGGCTAGCTTTCGTGACATGCAGTATGTGTTGACTTAGACTTCTGACGCATGATACCGATCAATCCTAAAGCACAGCTCCTCTCGCCATGACTCTAAGCCTACTTCTGAGGGTGGCGCGAGCTGAAATACACCTAACGACATGTAACGACTGACGTTCTGCAGATGTGGCGAAGAGTCCGAGGCAGGAGCGTGGCTTCTGCCAGCCGCCCGCTGTCCGAGGCCGACCCCAGGTGTCCATCAGGAACCATGGCAGACCCTTCACCCAACATAGAACACTGATCGCATGCCCTTGTGGGAATCCGTGCTGCTATTCCTTCATGTGTGTTGAGCTGCTTCGTTGGATGTAGGAACCGTCGCCTTTTGCTACGTGTAGACTTGAGTTGCGCTTGCTTGGCCTTATCATGCTCGGGCATGTCCATGCACATCCCGGAATCCATCTCAGAGAAAAGCTACAGGGAGCTGCCAAAAAGTGCCACATTGCCGCATGTGTATGTATTCGCTTTCAGGTAGTCCGTTGCAGGCTCCCTTTTTCTTCTTTCTGTCGCGCGTGCAGGAGGAAGAGTGCGTTCATCACAGTCGGCCTTAGCACAGGCCTTTGCAATTAGAGACGGAACCATCCCGACAGCATCGTCGAGCACGGTTGCGCGACCCCTCCTGTTCCTCCTCTCAGTCTCGGGGTGACCCGCACGCTCTGGGTTGCTTCCATTCGGAGCACTGTAGCTGTGCAAGAATCCGACGTGAGGGAAAAGGGGGCAAAGCTCTGATGAGGTCTCAGCAAAAACATGCACATGTAATTGGTGATGACTTTTTGAATTAGTCCCCCAGCTTCAGAAGGGCCAGTATCTCCTGCAACGAACATGTGCCAACCGCTTGACGCAAGTGCAAGCTCAGCCGTGCCAAGCTGCAAACACTTGGTGCCCAGAAGTGGCCGAACAGCAAACGAAAACCCACTACTCTATACCGGTAAAGTACTCACGTCATGTCATTTTGCGCCCATCTCCTGCTCGTTCTTGGCGACGTCCTCTTTCTTGCGGAGCCTTTTGATGCTGGTCGCAAGGAGTCGACGCCCCTTCTGGAGGCTCGTGGGCTGCAAGTCTTCGATGACACCCAGGCTCACGAGCACAGGGCCCTCAAGGATGCGAAGCTGCAACACAACAGAACCAACGCTTGTAGACATTGTAGAATTATTCTATACGTTTAGTCTGCATTCTACGGTCCCATGCCAGGATTTCGGGACTGACACATCGGACACTCAGGCAGGGCCCGGCCGGCTTTCTTTGGGAGCCCTAAGCCGCTGTACTTCGTGAACGCTCAGATGTATGCCGATCCCCCGCGCTCTTGAGCCCGATTGCGGGGTATGCTACGCTTTTCAGTGTTGGGGCACTTTGCTTGCGAATCTTGCGACACTTCTCACCTATGAGTCTCTAGACCTGCTCCCATCTCGCAGAATCTCGCAGACAGTCTTGAAGGTGCTCACAACTACGTTGAATCCGCCGAGGCCATGGGCCGTAGGTGTCTGGGTAGCACAAGCAGGCACACCACCTCAAATCCATTTCAGCCTGCCATCCCACCCACCCCCACCCACCCCCCCCCCATCCCCCCCACCCCCCCCCCCCCCCCCCCCCCCCCCCCCTCAACCAAAACCCCCGCCCCATCCCCCCCCGCCCCCCCAACCTCACAGATCGCCACTTTTTTCACGTCTCCATTCGTGTCCGGGGCCTTCCCACCCTTCCCCCACCCCAACCCGCCCCCAGCCCGCCTTGTTACAGAAGCTCAGGCCGAGGCGGGTTGCGTAGCGTTAAAATTACTGGATGCGATTGAATGACCGCGAAAGCAGGAAGATGTTCACGATAATCCGGTGTGTGCTATTGCCACGCGTACGAGCCGTATTGTGCCTACCTGGGTGCTCCCGTCTACAAGATTTCGGGTGGCTTTGAACTACTTAAGGTTGGTCCCCGTGTAGGCACTTGCTTCATTTAGTAGGATGCTTCCCAAAACCGGCACCCACATCTAGAACAACTGCCGACTGACCCCGGCCTCCACTTCTGCTACCAAAGCCTCTATGGCCTTGGCATATGCAGCCTTGTCGGCATGCTTTGCAGCCAGAGCAGAGATTTTCTTCTGGTTCTGTGGTAGAGAATAGCTCTTCTTGATCTTCTCCTGCACCTGGCAAAGTTGTTGGGGAAATCTCAAAAGTCGCGACTTTGCCAAAACTGCCATGCCTGGATCAGCAACTCCATGTCGAGGATGGAGGCTTCAGCAGGAGCATCTGCGCTTTCTGTCCCGGCGTTCTTTGTGACCAGCTTGTCCACTTCTGCGGCCAATTCTCGCACGCTGGGGTAATCCAGGAGGATGGTGGCAGGAAGCTCCTCTCCAACCCACTGGCTCAGCCTCAGCTTGTCTTCAAGTCGTCTCTGGATGCTAGAAATCGGAGCGTGATTGGCAATGCTCATTCGAAGCAACAGGCAGACGATGGAACCATGAAGTGGCATTGGCACCAAGTTCGCCGAGCAGCTTGTTCTTGATGCGGATCATCTCTAATGAATCGATCCCCAAGACGAAGAAGCCTTGGGTGAGCTGATCGTCAGACAAAGGATGCTGCATGTCGGCCATCACCTCGAGGCAAGAGCGGGCTGGCACCACAGGGACTCGGAAACGCGTGCTACGAGCCACGAAACACAGCAAAAAACCTCCTGCGCAGTCTTCACAATTCACAAACATTATACCGCCGCATGTTTGCGTTTTAGGCCCGGCCGCCTCGCGGATGACCTCCAATGCGGACGTCTTTTCACCCTTGCCATTTTGCTTGCTTTGCTTTTGCAGTTCTGCTGCAGCTTCCTGAACGCTTGGAAAATCCAGCAGGAAGGTGGCCGGAAGCTCTCGGCCGGCCCATGAGGACAGCCTTGGAAGGGCGCGTGCAAATGCCAACAAGTTGCTACTACAAGGCCCCTTCTTCTGCCGAAAGTCGGCTGGGAAGCTCCAGATTCGCTTCGATGCTACTCTCACTTCCCGACCTATGAGCACATAAGCCAAGGAGCTGGTTACGAATTCGTACCATCTCCAATGAGTCGATGCCCAAGTTGAAGAAGCCCAGGCCCAGCTCCTCGTCTTTTACGGGATGCTTCATCTCGGCCAAGATCTCACGGAGCACATCCAACGCTGTGGCTGTCTGCTCTGGGGCCTTCGGCGCCTTCTGCTCACCGGTGCTGCTCGTCAGCTCCTGTGATGCCGTCCAGCTCTTGACGTCATACTGGATCAAGACTCCAACGCCCCCATTGTCCGCGTCTTCTGGCCGAAAGCCAGGAACAGGCCGTGCAATCCGAGCTCCATAGCCAGTGTGGAAGCCCAGTGTCTTGTCGGCATGCTTGCCCTGAAGATGCCCTGCCACATAGCCTGCCATGTCGGAGCCGTTGTTGGCTGAGTAGTTGCTGCAACGGGTCACCCCAATCACAGTGTCCACGGTGGGATCCAACTTGGCAAGAAGCAGCGCAAAGGAACGCAGGTCCGACCCGACTCCAACGACCTTCGCCTCTGGGTCTGCACTGATTGCTATCAGCTGCAGTACACGGCCCTTGGGGTCGTGGGAATCGCTAAGCTCCATAAATTTTTGAGAGTCGACAGTGCTCACAGCTGGCACACGCTGTGTGTACAAGACTGCCACCACCTGCCCATCTACCTCGCACACGAAGTTGCCAGTAGGTGCCTTCTGAAGCCGGCCTTTCAGCACTTCGGGCTTAGCTCGAAGCTCTGGGGCCCAGGCCTTCTCTTCAAGGGACTCCAGGCTTGGGAGATCAGAGACTTCGGCCAGGCGGATCACGTAAGGCTTTCGAACCAAGTGCTGGTTCAGCATACGACAGTATCGGCCTTGCTCTGGGTACGCTTGAACTGTCTTGAAGTCGGTTGGGAAAAGCCCCGCCATGGCGCAGCTCATCGCAAACGAGACTGCGGAAACCATGTACTGGCGAGACAGGCCTTGCACAATGTCGAAATGGAAGGAGACGCAGTCATTCATGAAGCGCTTGGTGGTTGGCACATCCAGCTGCATAACCTCAAGCATGCACAATCCGTAAGAACCCTGCAAGGCATCGGCCCAGCGAGCCATGTGCTCGACCAATGATGCAAACAGCTCCAGCGGAGGGATCGGAGCACCCTCTTTGTCCAAATGGACAAAATCCGCCAACTCAGCCAGGGCAAAGGCAGCGGTGGCGCTGTTCTCCGGGATAGGAGCTTTGGCTGCGATGTATGGTCGGTCATGGTCTAAGAAAGAGCGAACGTGCAAGGCTTTGTTCGGATCCACCTTCTTTCGCTTGAGCTGAGTCATCAATGCGGCTGGCTTGCCGATATCACCGGCAATGACTCGGTGTGGAATGCTGTGCTGCTCAAGGTTGCAGGCGGTTGCCACACGTGACTTCTCATTAAAATCGACGCCGATCATCGTCAGAGGATGATCCTCCAAGACTTTCCCTCGAGCAGTCCGATCCCTCACGTGCGTGTAGATGGTATGCAAGAGGTGGCCATCGCCGCAGCCGGTGTCGATAACAAATTTGGGCTGTGCCTCAAACTTGTCATTGTCGAAAACCTTGTGCACGTGACCGAGCAAGTCTTTGAACAATGTCGTGTGCTGTGCACCGCTCCCCACCACGTTCAGAGTTCGCTCCACATGGATCTCACCGTCATCAGGATCAAGGTCCCCAGCAAATCCCCATCCAGGATCTGAGTAGAGAATCTCATGAAATTTTGACAGCATTGGGGAATATGAAGTAGGCACGTAGTAGGAGTAGACTCGTTGAAGGGCCAACTGACCCTTTGCGGAAAGTGACACAGCGCCATGGGAATCAACACTGCCGATTCCCAGCTCCTGGAACATGTTCCGCAGCACCTCGCAGGAAGTGGTATCGAGCTCACGAAAGTCGAGGTTGTCGAAGGCCTTCTCACGGCCCATATCTAGACCCTGTGCGTTCCACCTGGCGTTGTAAGTCAGGGAGGTGAGCAGAGGTGCCAACACGATACCATCCAGCAGAATTCCTAAGGTCTTGGTCTTGGCCGCCTTCCAACTGGGCCTGATGTCCTTCCAGATGTTCAAGCAAAGCTTCGAAGCATCGGATGGTATGGCAAAGGGAGGGTTTGCCTCGGCGTAAACTCGCCTCAGCTCCTTGCTTGTAGCAGAAGAAGGCTCCAGGCAGGACAGAAGCTCCTGGAGCTCTGTACCATCCGCAGCCGAGTAAGCTCCTTGACTCACACTGCACTATTCACTGAAGCGTCCAACAACAGCTCCGCAACTTTATGACTGAGTGGGGCGCCTGAGACAGGGTCGAAGTCCAGGTAGCCCAGTGCGCTGCAGCATCGCAAGGTGATCGCCAGGGGTCCTGGCTTCGCACCGGTTTCGCCTGCAAGCTCCGCCACCGTCTTGGACGCTTGGCAGGCTGGCAGCAGCTTGTCAGCAGATTCCAGGAGGAGTGCCCCGGCTGTCCAACCGTGAACCAGAAGAAAGGCGTTGGCGTTCCTTAGCAAGATCAAAGATCCATCCGAGATTGTACTGAACCCTTGATTCCTGGCAAGATTAGTGTGATTTTTCTAAATGCAAGCAGGCTGCAGGTCAATGCCATGATTTGCAGACTCAGCCAAAGTCGCAGAAAGGGTAGCCATTGCTCTCTGCGAATGAGGGACAAAAGTTTCAGCGCTTACGACACGATCGATTGTACGATCCAACACGTGCCCGATATGAGTTTCATGATGGGTCAAGGTGCACTGTTTGAGGGAATACCGAGTAGCTAGCCGCAAAAGACAACGATGGAGGCAGTGAGTGAAGGGACTGCGCCTCCAAGCACTGTGTTGAAACGGCCCAAGCATCCAAGCAGCTGCGAGAACCACTTGCAGTAGCTTGTTTCAGCTCATGGCCATATGAACTGCTCGGTTGCGCTGGAAATGTATCTTCAGACGCCGCCAACGCGGGCAGAAGCATTCTCCAGACAGGTAGGTGAGAAATGGCGAAGCTTGGCCTCCTGCACCCTGCTGTTTACTTTAAAGTCTGTGTAAAAGATTCACATGTTGTAGCAGGGGATCGGTGAGTCCACTGGCTTCCAGAGCCCATAAGTCTCGCCTTCGGCTCCAAAGAAGAAACCCTTAAACTGCCTGAGAAGAAGAGCTCCCCCCAAAAATCTGCTGAGCATTTTACTGAACCGGGCCCACGCCTTGTAAAATTTCACAAATTGACCTGGTTGTCACTCCTCCAGCTCGGGACTGCCGGGAACATGCAGCTCAGCTCCCTTGTCCATCAGCTGTGCATATGCGCTGATCTCGCGCATCCATTCGTTCCCGCTGAACTTAATCTTCACACTACATACAACCATCACATCATGCCTGTCACCATCAGCACCCATCAGCTCAGCTGTCAACGACTCCTGGATTGTGCCGTCCGGAATAGGAATCTTCTCGATGTATCCTCCTTCGATACCACCAGTGTCTTCCCTGTAGATGTACACATTGAGCTCGTCGTGTGGCTGGTAGTCGTTGATGTAGGCCCTGTTGTGCCAACCGTAGGTCTCCGACTTGCAAAGCGGACATGAAAAGGTCCTCTCCTGAGAGTCGTTCTTCACAAGCATTGCCAGCATGGAATCTCCAGGCCACTCGCGAGTATGCCATGGCAGCTCACAAATGACTCTGACTCTAATGGGGCTGGCTTCAGCTTTTCCCGGAGCAAATTCCTGAGACTCATCTTTGGTTGCTGCTTTTTTGCAGCACTCCATTTGAGCCACTTTGGGCGGAGTCACCGAAACCTGAACACAAAGCTGGGAGCCGAAAGGTGTCTGCAGCGAATGCCTCCACTGCACGTGTCATGTACGCCATGTACGCTGCAGGGGGTTGGGTGGGTGTAAGGGGGGGGGGGGGGCCGGAGGCTTGACTCGCGGTCTTTTTCAATCGAGGTGTACCCTTCAGGTGAACTCCTTCGAATAAAAGATGTGGCGTTCATCACCGCCGAAGCAGAAGAACTGGCTGTACAGATTGGGGCTGAATGCGACATCCACAGGGCCTGGCATGTCCGACCCTGACTTGCAGAGACTATTGGGCCAAAGACCAGCTCTGTTCTTGCTATGTCTTTCAGCCTCTGCTCTCAGGGCAGCCGCGGTTCAGCTTCGTCGAGGAGTCACAAGTCCTCACTGCATACGAAGTCATGAAGCTCTGAGGCCAACTGCAGAGCTGGACATTTTGGCAGGGAACTTCTGCAAGCAGATCTTGTTTCTTTCTGCGAGCCTCTTACCGCGGCATTGCCGTGTCTTTCGAAACAGGACGGAACGCACGGGGAACACGACCTCTAATGTTCTAAAGGCTCCACGCAAGAAGTATTATAAGGCAGCGAAAGTGCGCCAAAACAGTTCGCGCAACGACACGTCCTTACAGAATTTGCACAAACCTGCCTATGGCTTGAATGCTTCACAAAACGGGCGTGACTCTTGTGATGGTCAAATGTGGTCAAATGAACAGGATGGAGCACACGACAAACACAGATGACACAGCTTCTACGGTTCCAAGGACTCCACGGTATCATTACAAGGCAGCGGATTCAGCCAAGGGCCATGGCCTTGCAGCACAGACTGCATCGTCTCTCTGCTCCACAATAGCTGAAGTTCATCTCGCCTCGAACTTCTCTTCGAGCTGCTTCAGGCCATCCATGACATTCGAGATGGTCTCACCCTCAGTTCGAAACTGCTGGAACTGTGCTCGCTGTGTGCATCCGCATGTTTTGAGGCCACCAGGCCTTCGTGTCGTAGGCAATATCCCCACTCTGGAACCTGCGCTCAACGGTTCTTGCATTTTGGGCGGGGATCATCAACGCATATTAAGTTCTTAACTCCCTTCGAAGCTCCCTGCTTCATGGTCTTCTTGCCACTTTCGGCGAGTCTGTTCACCATCTCCACCTCGGGAGCTTGCACGCCCAAGATCGGCTCAGCAATCTGCCCTGGCTTTGCCTGGCTTGGGCGCTTAGGTCGCCACTACAGGCACACCGAGCTCCTCAGATGGCCTCAGCACCTTGCAAAGCGTTTCAAACATACGTGACATGCGCGTCATGCGCGCTTAGCAGCTCGGTGCCGACAATGTGACAAGGTACGTTGTCTGCCAGAACCCTCAGCACTGCTGTAGAACTCTTGATGAAGTCTGCCTGCGCACCAGGGCGAAGCAAGCAGAAACAACAAGTTGAAGACGGATGGTAGAACCTGACATGCGGGACACGGCACCTCTGACTCGCCGGCGTGCACAAAGAGCCCCGCGAGCTCCTGCAGTGCCATTCGAGAAAGCACGCTGAATGTACTTGGTTGAATTTACAAACTTGTGATTGTCACTCTTTTCGATCAAAATACTTAGTTGCAACATCTTTTTGGATCCGGTAGAGGGATGCACCGGAACACCATGTTTCCTTTTAGGGTTAGGGGCTTGTCGTTCACATCAACCGTACAGGCTTCTCAGCCAATATCATCTACGGTTAGGGTGCTTCGGGTTTGCCACGCGACAACTCCTTTCAGGGTTGTGCCAATCTAGGGCTACGGGCTTGCCACCCATCATCTTTTCCCGTTTTATAGGTTTGCCACCCAACATCTTCCTTTTGGCAGCAGCAGAAATACATATTTAAGAGTCTGAGCCTGTGTGACCTGCCTTGGATGAGATGCTCGAACAAAGCTTGCCACTCCACATCTCATACTAAAGTTTCGGCACATGTCTCTTCAAGCTTGAGGGCGCCTTGCCAACATCTCATTTTAGGGTTCCGGGCTCGCGACCCAACATCTCGTTTAGGGGTTCTGGCCCTCGCACCCCACATCAACCCGACAGGCTTCCCAGCCAAAACAGATGTCACGCTCCTACATTTACGAGGGTTCGGGCATCCGTCAAGCATGACATGGGTTCCAGTGCATCCTTCCGGACTCACAAGAGTAGTGCAGTATGCGTACGTAAAGGTCACAAGAGTCAGCAAACATATACAAATTCAATTACAACAAACCCCTTGCTACCTGCTGGAAGCAGTGTTGAAGGCTTTGAATCAAAATCGGTCCGTGGCGCTGCCGTACAGCCGACGGTTGCAGGACTCCAAGATGTCCATGCACACCTGCACAAAAATCAACAAGATATTCGAAGAGTAACATAGCAATACAATATATTAGACTCTATGTAACCACTATAGAATACCATTGTAAATACTCAAGCAGTGGGAAGAAACTAACCCAAAAATCTAAGCACCCAAAAGTCTAATCATCTGGTAACCAAGTAATCTCATATTCCAACGCTCGAATTGTGCATGTGGCCATGGAATGAACGAGCGACGCCTTTGTGGGAGTGAATGGCAGCATCATCCCGTTGTACTCTACAGGATCGTCCTCCCACATTCCCGCAAAACTGATGACTTGAAGACAGCTCGTTTCCGAAGTCAACTCTTTCACACTTGCGGTGTGCAAGGATTTGACATCTTGAAGTGTCATGAAGTGCTCATGTAATGATCGGCAGGCTACAAGGTGCGGCAGGGCGAGTAGCTTTGGGACTCCTTCAGGACCTTGACGAAATTCCAAACGATGAAGAGAACCTGATGCAGGTCAGCGGCCGGTGACACAAATCAATGCTACAACTCTGAAGCGCAGAAACCCGTCAACAGGTCGAGTAGTTCAGATGATTGGTGCCTGAGTCCTGATTTCTCCTCGCTCTCTCAGCTCGTGCATGACCTTCGCCAGAAAACAGCTGGGAACGCAGGGCTCTCTCCCAGCCTCGCCATAAAGCACGATAGCCCCATCGACCAGGTCCGCAACCCCCAGCATGGTTTCAGTCCTGTCCTCGGAAGAAGTCAAGACTCTGGCAACTTCCTATGTGAGGGCTTACGAAAATAGGGGACCCCAGAGTGGACCCTAGACTACTAGATCCCCTTAGAATACGGATCCCAGTAAGGGTACCCCCTCATGTCGGAAACCCCCCCTGTGAGGGCTGTTGAAGGTTGTAGATCTGAGGGAAGAACCAGATCGCCTTTGTTCAGGTGGAGTGGCACGATGGCCTGCTACAACTCACCAAGGAAAACACGGAAACCCATCTTAAACAAGAGCATGCTCTGCGAAAACATGTGCATGTCCTCATCGCAGAGGCCATACGCCAACATCGTGTATGGCCTTTGCCACACTTGTGACATCATGGTGCTATCTCGTGACATGCTACTACTGCTAGATCGTCCAGTTCTGAAGGGAAGTGATCAACATTCCAGAACCTGATGGCTCAAGAAGACTGGCATGGGCAAGGCGCATAGATGGACCATTCAATCAGGTGCTGTGGGACACTTCTCAGTGCAGGGCGAGGGTCGTCGGTCACCGTCCGTGTCGCAGAACCTGAGCCGAACAGGTCGGAGCAACCCTGCCCTGCGCGTCTCTGCGCCTATGCAACCTTACACTAAGCACTTGCAACAGCCAGCCTTGGGAAGTACCATCTACTTGTGCTACCGGTGGCAGGAGTTGTGGCAGCTACTGCAGTTGCCAGCTTGCCGAGAAGGAGCAACTTCCAAGTTTCTGTGGACCTGGCCCGGGTTTTCCAAGATTCATCAGGAGTCGAAAGAATGTGCAACAAGCCCGGCGTGCTTGGTGAGGGAGTCCCGTATTCTCTCGCAAACTTGCTTTCTCACCTAAGGGTTCGTCACCGAGACTGGAGACGTGAAGAGCTGCCAGCTTAGCTGCCGGCATCGTCGCTCATGGGAGCCTCTGTCCGCGGCCTAAATCAATATAAGTTGGGATGTTCCCCCTTATACTAACAGCTCCTTCATAGGGATTATAGTACCCCCTTCCATCATCCCAAAGGGGGAACGGGGAACATCCCAAAATGCAAGCAATTAAGAATGGGAAGACCGCACTGACAGCACGACATATACTGCTAAGGCGGTAGCCAAGCGCCACTCGAAATGAGGTAGAGGTTGTCAGGGAGCTGAAGCCAAGACATGTCCAAATTGTCCAAAAGGCATTCATCGAAACAGCTGAAGGGTCTCACATTGCTCTTCGGGTGCCAGAGGGCCGTACTGCAGGGTTGTGCTCTTTCAGACAGACTGCATGCTCCATAACCTGAGTAGGAACTTTCTGCAAAACGAGCGCTGCCTCAAGCGGAATGATTTGGAGTTTCGGGGATCGGACTACACGTTCTGTGATGCTCTCCTGACCGAGCGCGCAACGTCAAAAGTCGAGGACCAGAGCCAGCTGGTCAGCCCTGAAGGCCTCTTCTCCTCAGAGCTTGCTCATCATGTTCTAGCAGAAGATTCCAAGTTCAACTCTGACACAAGCACCGGACAACATGCATGTCACCGGAAAGCATGTTGGTTTCCCTCTGCCCCTCTTGCGAACCTTCTTGCTTGAAGCCATGGGCGACAGAGTGAGTCTGAGGCAAATGCTGCGGCCTGGAGGAGCCGAAAGACTCCTCCAAACCTTCGCGCGAGCAATCCAAGGCAAAATGAGTGCAGGACCCACCAAAAACAGTGTAACAGCCCCCTTTCCATCCAAGCGCCGCGCAGCGACTCGACCTGTGAGTTGCATCAGCAGCCCTTGCCTGAACTCCTGCGCGAATCTACGGAATCAATTTGGGGCCCACCTTGCGGCCGGCTGCATCCACTCCACCGAGTAGTCGCTTTGTGAGGTCCTAAGAGAATCCCAAGCTCAGTTGGCTTGGCTGGACGTGGCATCGCAATCACATGTCGTCACTGACGGGCTTCTGAGGCTGCCAGTCCGACGCGTCAGTCTGAAACTGTAAGCTCAGCGGCACCTTCTTCTGCGAGGTCCATTATCAGAACCTGAGTGCTGGATGCACTGAGAACACGAAAGTAGCTTTTCGTCGCTGAGATTCCTGCTCGGGCATCCGGATGCTTACTGGCATAGAAAGTGGACCTGCTATATGACCAGCGATGCCCGAATGCCCCACAAAGCCCCACAAAGGCCCAAACATGTGCAAGAGGACAAAGACGACAGAAGCAATAAGGCGCCCACATTTGATACGCTAGCGTTGTCTTGCCAGTATGGCCGATGTGACCTCGAAATTGGCTGGCTTAAAGAGCCTCCGCTTTTCTAAGCTTGCGCGGTGCAGCCACGGGACTTGCAAAGACATGGCTGCTGTGAAGCGGCATTGCACCTGCGAAAGGGCGCGACCCCGACATCCAGTGACACCTGCACGAACTCAAGATGAGCCCGACCTTCCTCCAGCAGGTTTGGCTGGACGCCAGGCGTGAGTGATGAAAGTACGCAAACGGCTTGTGTGAGTTGAACATTGGGTCATTAGGGGGGAGAGGTAGCATCTACGAGCCGTTTTCGTTTGCATGGGTGTGGCAGGGCGTCGCAGGTACTCTTCATTAGCAAGGATGCTCAAGGGCTTTGTCCAATGACGCAAGTCACTCTTTCACTTGCACAGAGCACATCGGAGCAATACTGGCTGAGCTTTTTCCATCTTTTTCCATGCCAAAGCCCAGCAGGAGCGGACATGAAGCGGGCATACCGCACTGGCCTTGGCGTACTCAGGGGCCAAGAGATAGGAGAACTTGCAAGTTGACAAGGAATGGGCAAGTGGACGCTTCCTCTCGTCGAGTATTTCCGCGTGAAAGCTCACAAGCCGTGGTATTTTGGCAGGAAGCATTCCCCAAGAGAGGCAGCTTACTGTTGACTTGAGGAGTTTCTTGATATGTGGGTCTTAACTGAAGATATGTTATCGGCAGGGATTTGGACCCAACAGGTTGGTTTCATGAACGATTTCCATCATGTTTGGCTGTCCAGGGTCTCTGATATGCTACTTTGGGGGGGGTTCTAGTAAAACAGTTTCCGGCAGAAGCTGGTATTCAGAGATCTTTGCCTGGTAGAGTTCCGGAGGCTTTGGGTGCCGTGTTGGGCAACCTGAACAGAGAGGCAGCACTCCTGAACGCGACAACGTGCGCCTTCATTTTCTGTTGCGACCCCGGGTCCCGCAAAACTTTTCAGAACACATCCAGGGGGGTGGGCTGGGGGAGGTGGGAGTACTCAACGGAACTCAACATACTCAACTTGAGAGGCCCGATGAAGGAAGCCTCGGGTCGCTAGCGCGAAAGCAGCCTAGTGTTGTGAGAAGTCCTGGTCCCGCAGTCTGCCATCCCAGCGCAAGTTACTGCGTGCAGCAAAGGCCGCAGCTTGCACAATAACTCAAAAGATCATCCCGCCCGACTCCTCGACTCTGGTTGATGCTATTGAGGTGCCCGCTCAAGGGCTGGCATCGATGATATCCTCGCCATGTTCAGTAGGGGGTAGCGTGATGGAGTGTCAACCAGCAAGAAGCTGGGCAATGTTGGCGGATGCTGCGCCAAGCGAGCTTGATATGCACGCGTGATCATGCAGGCGAGGTGCCTTCATAGATGGACCATCCTTGACCAGCTCGGGGTCGATCTCCTCCTGCTTTGCAGCCTGCAAGGAGTGGCAACGCTGAACCCCTGATGCTGGTACGAGGTTAGTTTTAGGCGTCTGATGGAACTGATGAACTTGCGTGCCTCAGCCTCTGATGTGTACTTCATCAGAGTGAGCTGCTTTGCCATCTTGGCTTTGAACTGGCGCTGTTTGCTGATCCATGTAAGGGATGTGGATGGATGCAAGATTGAGGCAACCGTGCCTGCTTCTTGACTCTGCTGTTCTCAGGCAGCCTGACCTTGGAAATGAGCTGTTTCATGTCCTCGCAGGAGTTCAATCTGATCCAGTGCTGCAGCAGCTGTTCACGACCTGACAAATGACATGCTTCCACAGACCGCCTCCGTCGGCTTGGGGTAGGTTGCTTCGGCCCGTAGCCGTTCCCTGCCAGCACCGTTTCTGGGCAACTGCTGGTAGCCGCTGGAGCTGGCAGACGTCACAAGCATGCCCTCACTTACCTTTTTCAGCGCCGCCGAGTGGTCAGGCAACTTTGACGGGTTTTCCGCATCGTTGCTGCAAGGCCGCATTATGTATCCTCACCACTCCGCCTCCCTTGATGCGTATCGGCTAATCGACGATCTCAAAGATTCGCTCCTGGATGAAGGGACTGGAGACGGCTTCTTCTCAAGACAAGAAGCTACTGCTGGCACCTTGCTGTGTCGAGTTTGCCTCAGCACCAGCACGAAAGGGGCCTGCCAAGCACAAGTTTCTCTGACCTCGCAGAATAGCACAAGCCCCGATGCACTTCCAGCCTGGCAGAAGAGCGAGGAAGCGGTGCGAACCTTTCCATGTACAAGGCAACTGTGATTTCATAGCATTGCCGTTGCTCCTAGCCATTGGGACCTCTGCAGATACCCATTCCATCACCTCGACTGCATCACTTGCTGTCATGCACTGCATCTGTACGCCTCAATGCCATGCTAACATGATAGCAGCCTTACGCTGAGGGCGCCGCATGCTCGGGAAAGTGCGCCAGCTCCGGCTGGATCTGCGGCATCCTTCCGGCTTCCTTGGAAGAAGGGTTCCCTCTACAGGCCATACAGGGGCCTGGGTAGACTAGAGCTTTGAAAAAGATGAGCGCAGACCATGCAGACGGGTGCAGCCGCGAAATCCCCTGCAATCCGTCTGCAGTGTCGCAAAATGTCGCGGCTCTCTGCTTGCTGGAAGCTGCGATCTTCGACACAGCTGCCTTTGTGGGCTTAAATCGCCGGAGAATTTTTCAATTGTCTCATTCCCTACGTGGTGTTGTCCCCAGCGTAATCGACGCTTTGGAGCTTCGGAGTCTCCATGGAGGATCAAGGTGCAGACAGCCTCGAGACCGCTAGTGTGCGAGTGCCGCTCATCCTTCTCGGATCCGTAAGAGGAGCAAACTGCTTGCAGGCTATAGCATGTTGGAGTATATCTGACATAACGTCGGGAACCTGATTGCGCCTCTTTTGCCACAGCAGCCCGAACATGACTGAGCACAACTGGTTACCTGCTTGTTCACTCAGTGAGGCCGCGTCCAAACGCAGTGCAAGCTCGGAGCGCAGCTCGCCTCGCAAGTGACTCAGGGCTGTGAGCACATTTCACGCATATGGTCTCAATGTCTCATCATGTTTCAACGTGGGCGCGCGTGCTCCTGCGGATATTTAAAACACTGATAAAGAAGCTTCCAAATCAGTGTGGCACCGAGTGTGGCGCACAGCATGGGGCCTTAACTGACCCTGGAAGCCAAGGAGGGTCTACCGGCGCACTGCTTAGGCGCGGTGCTGGGCGCTTGGCTACAGCAACAACCCGGGTTTTGCAACACTCCATCTTCTCAAGCGACACACTTCGGTTGGGCGGGCTCGCTTCCTGCATCCGTTTTAAAGCTGACTGTCTGACAGCTCTTGCGAAAAAACTCGCTGTTCGTCAAGAGGCGCTTTTGTCTGAAACACGACAGTCTCTTGCACTCCTTACAAGAGTTAGAGCTGTTGTCGAAACGTGCAGAACTGTCCTCGCTTGTAGGAAGTGTTTTGATGCTATTTCCGCTTTCATTGGGCTGCCCTGACACAAACTGTCACAGTCGCGTCCGTGCACTAGCAGTACCCTGCCTAGAAATTGCTCCCGTCGACGCCCCGGGTCTGCCATGATAACGGTGGACCTTGGACCGGAGATGCTGGTAACAGCAGCTTCTACGGAAAACTCCTTATAGGTTCCTTATTGAAACCTCAAGCATGGGATAGTTCCGCTGCCCCCTTAGCCTCGGGCCCTTGGGCATATGCTTCTGCAGCACGGCGGCCGAAAGCTGCGGCCTTCAAGGAACATGAGGGTACCAACTTCGGTACCGACACTTCGTTTGCGCGCCTCTGCAGGCCAATATAAAACGTCTGCAAATACCTGGATACTTCGTGCTGAAGGGTGCAAGGGATGTCGTCATATCGCCTGTAAGCCTGGGGCAACATAATCGAAGGCTCTGCCTGCCCCTGGAGACCTTCGGAGCACAAAGCCAACACAACAAACCCTGACAAAGGGGGGGGGGCCCGTGCAGAATCAAAGCCCGAGCCAAGCACGGCAAGTCTTTGTCCGAGGTCACGTCGAAGACCTTTACCCAGCTTGTGGGTCTGCACTTAATTAGAATTCGCAGCATTTTGCATAATGCGGCGTGCCGAAGCCAAAAGGTCTAGTCTGAAGCACAGTCCTGCCTGACCCTGCAGCTCCAGGCCATTCAAGTGGGCAGACCGCTTTGCCGAGTCCACATTCCTTCATGCTTTCATGCTGGGAAACCAGAAGCAGGCATAGCGCCGCGAGTCTCACGATCTCAGTTGCAAGCAGCTGGGCTCGATCCGTTGCAAGGACAGGGCGTGCACCTCCTGAATTGTCAACCCGGCTAGTCAAAACCATGTATATAAAATATGTACCACCTATGTATACTTTCCGAAGCTTCCGTGCATGCGACGCCAAGCCTAGAAGGGCAGCAACTGACACTAGGCCGGTTCCACATCCAAGCTCCAACACCTGCATTCCAAGAAGCACTCTTACAAGCAGCGGAGCAGAGTAGGCGAACAACCAGCGAGGCCGCGGCCGAACGGCCATGGAGATGATCTTCCAGAAGCCTGCGAAACTCGCCAACTTCTCGAAGCAACCGAAGGGTCAAGCGAGGCTCCTGTCTGCAACCAGGTAGGCAGAGGGCCATGCCTCGACAAAGGAAGAGCAAAAAACTCGTAAACCTTCAAGGCATCACATGCCTTGGAACCAAACGGGTCATCGTTGCCAAGCTCCTTGAAGCTGCGTGTTGCCTTCATGACAGGTCACATGCAACACAGGAGTCACGAGCAAAAACAGCAAACTCATACTCAGACTCAGCAAGAAAGACGACGAGAGGTGGGACAGGCAGCCGCCTCGGGTAGGTAATTTCCGCATCTATACACGCTGAGCTCACTCTGAGCTCTCTGGACTGCGTTCCGAGGTTCCCTTGAATGCCTCGCTTAACCTTGCCTACTTGTCTTCGGCTTCGGTGTACGTAAACAGCTGCCTTTTGGTCATCGAGACTTACTGATGATGCTGCGCCTCGCCTATCCTCACTTTGGCCAGGGAAAAGCGAGATCATCTAGGACACCATCAAAAAATCTTTCTTGGTGTTTGCACCTAGTCTGAGCGTCACTGCAACATGTTTTCTCATTGGGTCTCGGACAGATCTAGGCCACAATCATGGGGACACTATTTGCTCCGGCAAATACAAAGCAAAAATCACCAGAGCTAATGCGTGTACCCGCTCAAGTTTTGTTCCCGCTCAAATGTCATGACTTGTGTCAAGGGCGAGGTTATCTCCTTCAAAACGCCGCTTCCGTATCTTCTGCTGTCTGAAACGGTGCATTCCGCGGCGCAGAATTTGCGACTAGCGCTCGTTAGTATGTTTTGGGACGGCTGTCTCATGGCCGAACAACGCCTCATGTTCTCGCACGTGCCAATTCGTGCACTCCCCAATTTACGCTGATGGAGCAGCTGATGTGCTGAAGCGTGGACTGGAACAAGCCGAGAAGTTTTATGGGGCACTCAGACCTTGGACCGCACTTGGATTCGGGATGTGAACGTTTTGGCAGCTCCCTGAAGTCTCGAAGCAAGGCGATGTCAACGAAGCTTTGCTGCAGAGATGCTACCTGGAGGCATTGCACTCATTGCAATGCAGACAAAGCCCTGGGCAAACATCGACTTCACTTCAAAACGACGCTCCCACCCGGACAAAATTCCCAACGTGCCACAGAAAACATGCCCCTTGCCGTTTAGATGAAAGTCTAACTTCGTGCACTTCTCAATATCCGAGAGACCGTAGTGCATAGATGTTTGGCACATGAGTTTCGCTTTAAAGCTTTAGAACTTTGCGTATTGTGGCTGTCAGCAACGCCTTCTTGAATGAGAGCACATGCTGGTAAAAAAACTTAAAAACAAAACCGCTCTCTCCTCCTGGCTGTCGACAGCTTCCAGAAGTCGCATGGACGTCCTCAGCCTACCACGGTGCAGCGCCCCATAGCCGGCAGCAGATGTTCGGAGAAAGAATCTGGAAACAACACTCGTGCCTGGGGAGTGGCACCTTGAGCTCGTGGGCCGGAAAAGGCGCAGGATCTGGACAGCCTGCGCTGCCTGGACTGGTGTGGCACCAGGGTGTCACTTTTGGCCTCTCCGAAAGATTGGACGCACGAGCTCCTGGGTAGTGCACTCGGCTGTCATCTTGTGGGAGACCTCAGGAAGATCAACAGCAGCGCGGAGAATCTGACAGGATGGGCAAACCGAAACAGAAAACTAACTTCGAAAACTCACGCAAATGCTTTGCTTGGCCAGGTAAGGTCGAGTGTGCAAACATGGGGGGGGGGGGGGGGGGGGGGGCGTTCATGACAATTAGTCAGCTCTCTATATAGATGGGTTTCGTGACAGACTGTCCAAAGCTCTGTATACAAGTATGAGAGGTGTTCCGACCGTTCTTAGGTGCTGTCAACGTTGATGTCTCAGTTCAGTGATCTGACTTGCCAGGTAGGGTCAGCTGAATTTGTTGCATCTACCGTGCACGAAGATGTCGACTTATAAGAGTGAGGCCATGATTTTTTCTGCGAATCCGCGAAGCACAATCCATCACAATCCAATCTCTCCACCCTTCGGGGGCACGTTCGTCCTTTGTGTCCTCAAAGTTCCTCAACTCTGCCACAAGTGCCACTGCCTTTGACTCCGCAGCTGAGCCTCCGTTGGTTTCACCGCTCACCTCGCCACCTGCCTCACCACGCGCCTCTCGCGCGCGGCAGTCGGCCTCGTGCTCGGCGGGTGCTCTGCTCCATGCTCTGCCTCATGGCTCTCCTCGGATGGCTTGGCGCGGCTTCGGGTTCTCCTCCGTTCCAAGGCTTCGCGAAGATTCCCTCACAGCTCTTCCAGCTCATCTGTGTCCCATCCTGTCGCAGTCAGTTGACGGAGACAGGAGAGAATTCCGAGGGATGACAGTGATGACAGAGGCATGAGAAGACACGCAGGCTTTTGGAAAGAGAGACCCGCAATCCCTTGACCCAAACTGCGACCGTCAGGACCTTCAAGGAGACACAGCAGCCCGCAACCAGGGCCCATGATGTCATATGCCGCATTTTATCATAAATGTGGCTTTGGCTAAAACTGCTGCTGCCTTGTATGGTTGGGTGAGGTGGGTGGCAGTGGCGCGCATAGGCATAGTCTTTGTTTTCTCTTTCGCCCGCTCCGAGCAACAGAAATCTCGACCTCCTGAGGACCCCCAACCAAGCCTCCAGACCTTTAGCAACAATTTAGTCGGGAACTTCAACGACGCGCCAAGTATGAGCCTAAACAAATTTCCAAACTGCGCCTCTGAAAGGTCCATCTTGATCGTTAAGGCCCAGCAAATTCATCTTGCCTGTTGTGCAGATTTTGAGAGAGAAAGAGAGAGAGAGAGAGAGAGAGAGAGAGAGAGAGAGAGAGAGAGAGAGCGAGAGAGAGAGCGAGCAGTAGCGCAGAGCGGCAAAGCTGGCTCGCACGCTACACTTGCACCAGCCTGTTGCGCGACACTTCTCAGCCATGGTTGCCTGATTCAGAAAGCCCATCGAAGCCGTCTAAGCTTTGACCCTCAGCTTCTTTGCAGGCAAGCTACAAAAAGAGAGTGTCCATCAGCAATGACACCTGAAAGCATCTGAGGCGGCTTTGGCGCACACTCTGCATACTGCTCTCCAATGGCCGAACCGACGAGCACAGCAAGAAGGTTTAAGCAATACTACCAAGGCACGTGCCGCCATACCTCTGCTGGAGCGATTTATGCAGAAAAGCGAGGGGGACAGGGGCACAGCGTGCAGGAAACACGAAGCGCCTTGAGAAACATAAAGTAAGCCGATATCCGGCTGTCAAAGGGGGGGCCTCGAAGCTAAAGCTGGCCATGAAGACTGTGAGTTCGAGTTGCTCATCAAGGCGAAATCCAGCACCGAGTTCTCCTCGGGCATTTGTGGAGACTGAATCCCCAGTGTCCAGCAGCCGCTGAGAAGCTGTGATGCTTCAACCGCAGATTAGGCTGGCAGCAATCAGTCGACGCTGGCGCTTCTTGGGGCTCGATGGAATGGAGCCTGATCCACAGCTGGCACCTGGCGGTCCCAGCTACTTGCACAGTGGGGCTCTTGCCCCATGGTACAGAAGCGTTTCTGGACTTTTTTTGGATGCCCCAGCTGCAGGCAGAATGCGTACACTGCATTGCATGGCATTGCGTCGTATTACTTTTCAAGGCCAAGAAGGGTTTAAGATTCAGGGCCTCGGGCTTAGAGCCCCTGACGGCTGTGCAGCGGACCTTCGCACAGCTCGTTCCATTTATCTTTCAGACCTCTGTTGGAAGAAGCAGGTCGATGCACATGTACGGACATGCCCTGTGGTTGACAGTTCGCTGAGTCCTGTACATGGTGTGTCAGTGATCACCACCACTCGCAGATTCAGGTTTGTGCGCTCCAGCTCCTTCTTCATGAAGTGAATGTAGTCATCAAGCGTGGGCCACTTGTTGGCGGCAGTCTTGAATCTCTCTGCGTTGGGCTGGTAAAACCATGTGGCGGCCTCCTCAGAGCGATGTGTGAAGGCTCGGTGTCCCTGTAAGGCTGTAAGGTGCATCATGGTGCATGCTACGACGCATCTTAGTATTCATGAAGATGTGCCTCGCACTTCCAAGGCTTGTCTCCGCCTCGCAGGTGCACTATCACATACTCGTCCTTCTTCAGGCCTTCTCGAAGCATGTAGCGGCCTTAGACACACAAACTGGGCACTTTGCAGCCTCCGCAAACAGCTTGAAAACTCAGGGCATCCGACTGTTATGTCCTCTCAGAGTCTTAGGCTCTTAGGCCTGCGCGCACTTTGTCGGCCATCCACCTTTGTAGTCTGAGGTTGGCAATCTCTTCATAGTGATAGTAACGGTGCTGGTCGCCCGCGAAAACTACGACCTCTTCACTGTAGTCCTCTGCATCACCATTTGAAATGGCATTCATGCGGCTATTGTTCTCCGGCATCTTCAGAAAATTCCAGTGCGCTTCTGTAATGGCATCCAGATGATGTCGAAACATCGCAGGAACAACTCGCAAGTGGTGCTGCAATCTCCGCCAAATGTACAGGAATTCATCCGAGTTGAACACTGACACTCTTCGCAACCGAAAGAAGTCTTCGAAATTGAAACCCCCATCGCGGGCGAACTTGGGATCCCTCCAGTCGAGGACTAAGGCGCGCCCCGTGGCTCGCGCATAGCGCAGCACCATCAGCAGCTGCTGCAGGCGATCCCCCTTGGAATCACAGATCTGCCCGGAACCCTGAGCCTTACTTTTTCATATTCTGTCAAGACTTTCCCAAAATATGAAGAGTGGGAGCCAAGGCTCAAGGCCCTCCGTCCCCTTGTGCACCACAAACCGCAAACCGTAGAACCCGGCTTCGCTGTCACCAAATGCACGGACGCAGGACAACATGGCCAGTGCTTTCAGCGTCGAGCACATAATCATCCTTCCTGGTCCCCCTGGTCCTTCCCGTCTTCCCGTGGCACTTGCGCAGAGACGGCTTCGAAAGTAAATGCGGGTGAGCCCTCACTGACTCATGACATTCGGCTGCACCGCCCCATATCTCAGTGCACGACTGGTGCCGGGCACGCGTGCTCCGATAACACCTGTGACAAACACATTCGTCCTGAAACGAAGTTTCTACGTTCGATCCATACTCTGCCTGTTGCAAGCTAGACTCAATTCGGCTACAACTCCGTTCTTGCCGCAAAGACGCCTTGGAGGATCTGCAAGGCACGTAGCCGCTCTGCTGCATCCTCGTTGCATCGCCCTAAGTCAGCATCCTGGCAGCGACGTATATTATCCGTATTCTCCAGGCTTTCCAAGCTCGGGACTAGTGCTGCCTCGGCACTGAGATAGGTGGACCATGAACTGCATGTTGAAGTATCATGCTGGCCTCAGGGCTTGCCAATGTGCGGCTGGCATGTCTTTAATGTTGGGTGGACGGAAGTCCGAGAAGTCTGAGATCGGAGCTCTGTGGCCGTCATCTGCCTCTGAGGTACTGGCCGGAGGCTCGAGGAGCCTCTCTGAGTATGAGTGCTTGCATCATTGAGTGTGGCTTTTGGGAGTTCGTGGATGCGCACGGCAAACTGACCCGAGGCGCAGTCGTCAGAAGCGCGCTCAGGTTCGGAGTTCCCGGGGCCTTGCAGCCCAGGATCACTCTCGCCTATTGATGCTTTTACCCTCAGCCTTACTTGGCAGGCGCTTTCACTGTGTATCGTGAAGTTGCGCCTCTTGGAAGGCACCTGGCCTCGAAGCCATGGCTGAAGCCAGCCATGTCGTATGTCTTGTGTCTTGTGTCTTGTGTCTTGTGTCTTGTGTCTTATGTCTTATGTCTTATGTCTTTTGCTGCCTTATGTCTTTTGTCTTATATCTTATGTCCCCTGTCTCTTATGTGTCGTATGTCTCTTGTCTTACGTGTCTTATGTGTCTTATGTCTCTTATGTTTCTTATGTCTCGTGTGTCTCTTCTGTCTCATGTGTGTGTGTGGGTGTGGGTGTATGATATCGTTGCCGTGGTTCACTAGCTTGTGCTCAGCGGCTTCGCCCTGGCCGCCCTAGCCCTAGCCGCCCCGGCCCGTATGAAATCATGGCTTCGACAGCTTGAGTGATGGCATAGGCTGAGGCGAGAGCATGACATGACAGCACATCCGAAAGAGCTGTGGTTGATGGTATCCACAGCAAGGCCCCTTGCCTGATAGCCTTGTCAATGAGAGGCATGTTGACGCGCTTTCGCATCTCAAAGAACATGCCTCTTGTTGCAATGCCACACATAGTTCTCAGTTAACGGTGCAGTATGGATATGTAGTAATCCTAGTAGAAGTTGCATTGGCTTGAATGGCTTCTCGGAAGGCATGCAGTGGCCCCCCTCGCATCGTAAGTCGCGTGATCTCTCGCCACAGCTCCGCGGTCAACTTCGCAAAGTGAGTACAGCATCTCAACAGGTCGCTGCAAAACTTTGTGGCGTGGCTTTCTCACTATGATTGCATTGGACAGGTGGTGGTCACGTGTTTCGGGCGGAAGTTTCTATTTTCTGCTCTCCATGGCCTGTGTGGAGCACTCGTATGTGTCTGTACAATATATTGTGTTTGTTGTCTTCTTTGCTTGTTGACTGTGTCGTGGATAGCCAAAGCCTGTGCCGGATGTCGAGAGGTCGGCTCGTGCCTCGTAGATGTTCCTCAATCTCAACGCTTGCGACGCCACGTGACGGCAGAGGTGACACGAAGTTGAGATGGGAGGTTGCGTGGAGTTTGAGACTTTCCTGCTACTCGGTTCAGCGTGTCTCTCTCTCATTCCCCTACTGGAAAGGGGAATATGCAAGCAGAGGCTGAACGAGCATGCAGATCCAAACAATGGTCCCATTGAATTGTACATCCCTTCCGACAAGGCCCCGAAAATCTTGATCCCTCAAGTCGGAAATCTGGCCTACATGCTTGGTGTCGTCCAGCCCACCAAGCCGCGACATGGCATTTGCCAGGCGGACCACCTGTCCCGACAAGCTCAAACAAGAGCTGTCGTCCGATTGCCCACGTCAGTAAACATCAGCAGCTTTGCCTCCGCATTGGTGAAAAACTTCATTTGCCGGCGAACAGCACCCACAAGGGTTTCCAACAAACTGGCAGTCAGCAGCCCTCTTCGTGGTCATGTGACTGATCGAAAGAATCCAAGCAAAAGCCACCGAAGTAGCTGCGGGGCCGCAGCACAGCCAAAGGACAGTGCCGGCAGCACTCGTCATCATTGTAGTAGATCGCGCCAAAACTGCGGATCGGCGTATGGGGCTCTTGCTAAGCTTGGGATGCGCGTGATGCAGTCAGTCTTTAGTCTTTGGGCTTCTCATTATTCTCATTAACCGGCCTGAGCACAATATCCAGGGTCTCCTCACCAGCCAGACCCCCTTTAAGGCTATGAGCTGCTTCTTTGGTATCTCTGTCGGAGTCTCCTGTGGACTGAGCTCGTCTACCTGAGCGGTGACTTTCTCTGCAATCACCTCAAAGACGTCATCATCCTTACAGCAGAAGCCAAGTTGTGCGCGTGCGCGGCATGCGCGCGGGCGCGCGCGTGTGTGTGTGGGGGTGTGCGAGTGTGCATGTGCGTGCGTGTGTTCGTGAGAGTGCGTGTGGTATGTCTCTGTCTCTGTCTCTGTCCCTGTCCCTGTCTCTGTCTCCGTGTGCGTGTGCGTGTGTGCGTGTGTGTGCGTGTGTGCGTGTGCGTGTGCGTGTGTGCGTGTGGGTGTGGGTGTGGGTGTGGGTGTGGGTGTGGGTGTGGGTGTGGGTGTGGGTGTGGGTGTGCGTGTGCGTGTGCGTGTGCGTGTGCGTGGTGTGGGTGTGTGTGTGTGTGTGGGTGTGTGTGGTGTGTGGGTGTGTGGGTGTGTGGGTGTGTGGGTGTGTGTGTGGGTGTGTGTGGGTGTGTGGGTGTGTGGGTGTGTGGGTGTGTGGGTGTGTGGGTGTGTGGGTGTGAGTGTGTGAGTGTGAGTGTGTGAATGTGAGTGTGTGAGAGTGTGAGTGTGTGAGAAGTGTGAGAGTGTGCGTGTGTGAGCGTGTGAGTGTGTGAGTGTGTGTGAGTGTGTGTGTGAGTGTGTGTGAGTGTGTGTGAGTGTGTGTGAGTGTGTGTGAGTGAGTGAGTGAGTGAGTGAGTGAGTGAGTGAGTGAGTGAGTGAGTGTGTGTGTGTGTGTGTGTGTGTGTGTGTGTGTGTGTGTGTGTGGGTGTGCGTGGGTGTGCGGGTGTGGGGGTGTGGGGGTGTGGTGTGGTGTGGCGTGGCGTGGCGTGGCGTGGCGTGGCGTGGCGTGGCGTGGCGTGGCGTGGCGTGGCGTGGCGTGGCGTGCGTGGGTGTGTGTGTGTGTGTGTGTGTGCGTGTGTGGGTTGTGTCTCTGTGTGTGGGTATAATGTGTCATAACTCCCTTGCTGAGGCTCCTCGAGCTCCAGGTCCTCGATCGCTTTCGCTGCCCAGGCAACAGATGAGATCGAGGGGCACCTGTTCCCAAATTTTTGGGGACGTGTCCGTCGACCCGCACAGTCACACAGGGTCCCCCCCCCCCCCAAACGGACGCCTTTGGATCTCATCTTTCAGCAGGACCTCTCTTCTTTTTGAGTGCCACAACATCGAGAGAAGGCGCAACACTTCCACTTCTTCCACTTCTTCTGGGCAGCTGGGACAGCGGCGTGCAGCTCCTCAAGCTCCTCGAAAACACAGCATTTCTTGCCTTGCCCCTGCTGTCTCGACATCGCAAGATGTGCTGATCTTGCCTTGCCTCTTCTTCAAGTTCGGGGATCTCTTTGGTACCCCTGCAGCACTGCACACAAGCTCAACGATCGGCACGTTCGATGCGACCAGCAGAGTTACAGCAGATAAGGGAGCTGTGCTGAGCAGGGTCTGCCTATGCTTCTCGTACAGATTTTCGAGCGTCTGAAAGCCGCTGCCGACAGGTCGAGGTATCAGCGACCGATCCTGTGCGATTTACACAGGGCCCTAGGTCTACTTCGAGCTGATAGAAAAAAACTCCCGGGCCCTGCACCTTCGGAACTGTTCCACTCGCCTCCGGTGGCTCCTCCTCTTCCTGTGTAACACTGCTGCATGTTGGGAAGTAGCTGCATTGTAGCTGCCTCTTTTCTTGCATTCCGTCTCCTCGAGGTCATCCAGGCCGTCGAATGCCTACTAGCACCAATGTGAGCAAAGTGTATGCCTTCACACAATTTCACACAGCATGTTGATCTTTCGAAGCTACTGTAAGCTACTCTCAGGCAACGGCCACGCGTGTACGCGTCGGAAACGACTCGGCTGGACCTTGGCGCAGCAAAGTCATTCACTGTTCAGGGAATCACACAAACCTAGGTTCGTCCTTTGCGATGGCGCTGTGAGATGTAATGTTGTCTGCTGATTAATGTGACCCCCCCCTCAACAAATGGATCCTGCGCTTTAATGTGGGGGGTGGGGGCAACTTGGGGGGGGGCGGTCTGGCTTTGTATGATTTTAAACGGGATGAGTTTATATGAATTTAAAAGGGATCCATATGATTTAAAAAGGGATGAACTCGTATGAATTTAAAACGGATCCATATGATTTTAAAAGGGGTGAGACTGTACGAAATAAAAAAGGGATCCATACGATTTTAAGAGGGATGAGTTTATATGAGTTTAAAAAGGGATTATATGATGTTAAAAGGGATCCACATGATTTTGAAACGGAGGAGCTTATATGAATTTCAAGGGGATCCATCTATCCCAACCAAGCCAGCCTGCAAAAAGAAAATATAATTCCGGGGGAGCAAACTTTTTATATTATACGGCATTCGGGCAGCTGCTGGACTACCCCCTTTGAAATTTGATTGCCTGGCCTCCGTACAAAAGCATTTTATAAGGAAGTCTTAGCTTTGGGGCTGGCCTGGAGACTGAAGATTTCAGGGCCCGACAACCTCAGGCCTCAAGGTTTAGGAAGCCTCAGCCCTTAGGCCTCTGGATCCAAACACAACTAGCCCGCAAAAAAAATAGAATTCCGGGGGAGCAAACTTTTTATATTATACGGCATTCGGGCAGCTGCTGGACTACCCCCCTTGAAATTTGATTGCCTGGCCTCGGTACAACAGAATTTAATAAGGAAATCTTAGTAAATCTTAGTTTTGGGGCTGGCCTGGAGACTGAAGATTTCAGGGCCTGACAACCTCAGGCTCAGTTCAGAAGCGATTTCTACACAACAATGCCATTCAACAGCCTCGCCGAAATTTTGCATCGCCCGATTTTTTCTTCACAATTCCGGGGGTCATCCTCAAATAGATCCCTCTGAATAGTTTTTTGGGTTTTTTTTTCACAATTCCGGGGGCCCACACTAATCAGGATACAACATTCGTGTCCCTCGGTGAGGGGGGCGCTGCTGCAGCCTGGTGCGGCGGCGCGGGAATTGACCTGATATAAATACCTCCCCCCGGGGGTCCGGTGGCTGTTCCCCACTGGGCCCCCCCGGCCCGCCCTACCCGGGGCGTTAAACTTGGGTGCCGGACGCGTTTCACGCGGGACCTTCGGTCCGTGGCTTGGAAGCCACCTTTCTTGGTCGGCGCGACTCTATGGGATGATGGATGACTTTGCCAGCGCTGGACACGGCACATGCTGCCCTTCGGGGACAACTTTGGTTTGGGGGCCCACAGTGTGCGTGGCGCTGGACTCGGCATGGCTTGGTTTGATCTCGTCCACGGGTCGTGCTACTGGACGGGCTGGCTATTTTTGCTCGGTGCATTCCGCAATGGGGATGGACGCTTTCGCGGTTCTGCCAGGTTTCTCACATGGCTCGCGCTTCTTCTTTGTGCTTGTGTTTGTCTACGCTGGATGGCCAGGTACCTTCTGGTGGAGCCCGGTTTTTTCGGCAGCTTGCTGCTGCTTCTCAGAATTTGGCTTGGTTTTCGTGGTGGCTGGCTTCAATACCGAGGGGCCCAGGTTGCTGACCACCTTGTACAGGTTGCATGCTTACTATGCTGGACTGCGCCCCGTATTCACTGGGTTTGGTTTGGCTCCCTTGCCCGTCTGCGGCGGCGGATGGGGCACGAATCGTGCTCGGGCGCAGGACTGCGCACTGGCTGATGGCTGCGAAGTCTAATCTGTTCGACACACTGCGGGCCGCAGCATCTTCTATGCTTGGATGAGGCCTTCTCAGGCCATCATGTTGAAGTGCCGGCATTTTGCTGGCCGCCCGTGAGGCGTCTTAACTACCCTTTGCGGAGCAGGTTGACATCGAAGCAATACCAATACCAATACAACATTCGTGTGGCTATTGTGGTGTGCTTCTGAAGCGAGGATGTAGCTGGGCAAACGCAACTGTGAGTCGATTCTTCTTCGGGCTCGCATATTGTACCTGTGGCTCGTCTCACCCTGGCCGCGGCTCTCATTCCCAAACTCTGAGGACCTTAGAGTTTCCTAGCCGTGTCTGAAGACTCTACAAGCAGCGACCTTTGTGAACATTCTGCGGGACACACTGTTGTAACTGCACCAGGTTTCGGAAGACCGCCTGAACAATCCACAAAGAATCTCCGTGTGTACCGGTCAGAATCTGACAGAGGTTAGCACTCGCCAAGCAGATCAGCCACACTGCCGGGTAACAATTCAGGATGACTAACAGACTCGGTGAAAGGTCGGGCTCCCTCCTCATTGAGCAGGTGCTGTACTGAGACTGGGCCCCGAAGCCAGAAAAATGGATGAGCACGACTTGTTTTCACAATCCCAACCCTCCGTCCCCGTGCCAGCGGTCGCCTTCACATGACGCCACAATCCCCAAGTGTTCTTGCAGCAGCAATACGCAAAGGGGCCAACATCAGCATAAGTGGAGAGGGTGAAGGAGAGTACACCGTTCTCTGTCCGGACTACACTGCTACTCACAACCGCTCACAACCCTTGCTGGTGTGGGGTGAACGAGATTCTGGTCTCCGCAGCTGCTAATTTGATCTTTGTGAGGCTTCTGCTTCGGCGTTGAATCCCAGGTCGCTGAACCAATCCTGTGTTGGGCTTTTTCTGTGACTGTCAAAAGGCATTGAACCCCAAACCCCAACCCCCAAACCCTAAAACCTGCAGGCTGAGCAATCGCTGAAAGAGGCCTCGCGGCAAAGGTTTCCTCCCGAAGTCTTGGGACGGAACCTGAGAGCGGCTTGCGAGTCACGGAATGCTTCAGCTTGACATAGGGTTTAGGGTTTAGGGTTTATGTGGGCCCCTGACGAAGGACACAGCCGCCCAAGAGACTGCTGCCAGCGCAATGCTTGGGCCTCTGGCGTCTCGCGTGCAGCCCTCCACACTTATCAAACTGTGTCGCGCGAAGCGCATCACATCTCAGAATCTGCCATTCAGTCTCTGTTTTTTGAAGCCTGATTGGAACTAAGAAACTCAAATCCGGTGGATTTGTAGAATTAGACGTGCAAAGGCCACATATGGCCACATACCCGAACGTAAACTGCATAGGGGCAGACGAGCTACGCCTGCCCACTAAGCAGACCCCGGCTGCTGCTTTGACCACGGGTGGAACAACGGCTCAGAAGACATCGGTGCCGTCTGGCACCTTAGCACGGGCAGTGGAACGTGGGGGGAAATTGACTGATTATGGAGCCGGACAAATGGCAAGCTCCATGCTGCAAGTCCAAGCCGCCGTCCTCTTTCTGTCCACCTGACAGACTGCTCTAAACTTGAGCAGAGTCGAGCAAAGCCACAGCAGCAACACAACAGAGACATAGCCGGATTACATTAGAGCGCCGGCCTTTCTCATCCGGCCTTGCTGGCTGTATCTGATCGAAGGCACACCAGCTTCGTGTAGGAGCCTGTTCATGCCGACCTCACCATCATACCCGAAGGGACCAGGTACTGGCAGAGATTCAATGAAGGTTACTGGCGCGGCTGGCAAACAGGAGAGGAACTGAACCAGTTCCAGGAAGGAGCTGTGGTCCGAATACGGATAGTGAGAAACCCCATCATCACTGACGAAAACTGGAACTTCTTGCCCGCTGACCGTGTGACAATCCTCGAAGCAAGGCACATACTCCTTGCGAGATAGCTCCGCCCAACCAGATGGATCTATTGCATGCGCCGCAGCACCAGATTCAGCAGCTTGCCACAGGCTTTTTCTTAAGTTTCTGCGGGAGACTGCCCAGATACAGCCCTGCAGACTGCGGCGGCGAAGCTCATCGGCCGGCGCGCTCTGGGGGTTGCAAGGCTGCTCCTGAAAGGGGCAGCCGATCTCAAGGTCCTTGGTCACCATCAGGCGCTCTTTCGGTAGCAGAACCATGGTCTTCAATCGCCGTGCCAACTCAGCGAGTAGGGACTCTTTACCCATTTTATAGACAGCCACGAAGGCTATACAGGGCCACTTGCTTATCAAGCGCTTTGTAATTGCCCTGGACACTTCGGCCCGCGAAGCATGTCGGAACTGTGGATGGCAGAAGGTGTTGTCAAGGAAAATACGCGAGAGTTCTGCATTGGGCCGAGTGAAGAGGGGAAGAACACTCAGATGCGCATGGTCCTCATGAAAGCGAAAATCGCCGGTATAGAGGATGGTGCCGAAAAAACCTGAGAACACGAACATCACAGACCCGGGTATGTGGTTGGCATCCACGAGGCACACCTCAATCTCGAGCCCTCCAGCACCTCCTAGAAGAATGCGGTGTACGGGCCCCACCTCCAAAGGCCTCAGGAAAGGCTGCAGCGGCGGCCATCGCCTTCGAAGTAGCCGCGCGGTGATCTGAGACGTGTATATATGGCCGCGGCGCCAACTTCCGCTTAACCCCTTGAGATGGTCGTCGTGGGCATGGCTGCAGAAGAATGCCTGGCACTGGTCATGATGGAAGGAATCGACAGCCACCGGAACCTCTTCCAGCAACATGGCTCATGGCAGCGCGCCACGCTCTTCTACGGTCATATGAGATAGGTCTGTTTTACAAGTATCCCCAAAAGGGCACCCACGATATGTACATGCACATACACACTCACCAGTTTTGCAATGAACCATATATGCACTCACCAAATAGAAGCAGTAGTAAAGAGTAAAGACCATAATTCGTATCTTCTGTGTTTATGCCATCTTGCCCCACTCGCTGTGTGGAAACTTAAGACTTCGGCTTCCGCTATGCTAAGACAGTCTGAGCCCAACAAATTGATAAGCACTAACAGCACATGCATAATGACACCTTCCTGGCAAGGCCTACTTTCTGATTGAACACCCTGCTGAGTTCGGCAACACGCAAAGTGTCGGCGTCGCCATGGCCCTCCGACACCAGCCATGATAACCCATGTCAGCTATTTCAGTCCTAGATGTTCGTTAATTCAGCAGATTCGTTGCTTCCGACCTTGTTGTCACAGTTGCGGCAGGGCAATGCTTTGGGGGTTCGTCGTGTACGCAGATTTGGCTTTCTAAGAGCTTCAGCTTCCGGATCTTTGCAGCAAGGCGTACCTTGACACTGCCCTTCATGAGCGCGTTCAAGCTTGAATGGCTTCGAGGCAAGCACGATCCATCTCACCATGCGAGGCATAGGTCCATAGGTGCAAAGCGCTGCTGGAAGTTGAAGGGCTGCCTTGCTTTTGAGCGTTGCTGTGGGTGCCCTTGCTTGTTGCAGCTGCTGGCCCATGGATGGCGATGCCCTTTGGATCGACCATGGACCAGAACAAGGGGCTTTGAATTTCGTGTGCTGGTGTGAGCAGCCTCCCGCTCTGAATGTCATTATGTGGGCCTGCAGCACGAGTGGATAGATTCAGCAAAACTAAATAAAGCCCGTAAGCCTTCGAGATAGGAGTATGCCAAAGAACAGGAGGGCTCTGACTGCCTCGAGAAAAAAGCTATCGTAGCTCCGATGGCACGAATCATCAAGCATTTCACAAACTGCTTGGTTGTGAAATCCCTTTGCTCACTCCAGCACGATCAGAGGCGATGCCAAGAAGCTGCAATGCGCAGAATTGCGCAGACCTTCAAGCGATGCTTACGGTGAGGCATTGCTTGTGCATGTTCAGGTTGCGGGCTGGCCTCGAGGTGTCGGGGCCGGTGGAGCATGGAACTTCAGCTAGACGGAGCCACGCAGCTGGCGCAGAAGGCGGTCGTCTGCCTCGGAAGCTCGCTTCCGGAACACATCTAAGCCCATGTGGATGCATGCCATTGTTGATCCGTTGCTGATCCGTGAATGCCTTGTCTTCCGCTTTTGCCTTTGCTTTTGCCTTGGCTTTGGCCTTTGCCTTCGCCCTCTTCACGGCGGCAGCAGCCTGCTGACCAGACGACAACTGACTTGCGTACGGGACTCGTACCCCAATGAATCCTACCCTGTTCTGCGCACACAAGCAGCACCTAAAGGAACCCACGCCTTCTTGTCCTCATCCGGGAGGTCCACAGGGGCATCTGCAGCAACCTTGGAGCCTCAGCCAAAGTCAAAACTCCTTTTGTCCCTCGGCGTAATACTGCGTGATGTGGCATTTAGTAAGCTTAGTGGTGCTGGGAACCTTGAGAGCGGGGCTTATCGCAGTTGAAAGGTGGGTCGCTGCCGCTTTGGCGGCTTCCTCGCCAACCGAGCCGGCAGATCGTCCAAGCGGCATGGAGCACATGCGTAAAGTCGTAAAGGGGGCAGTGAATTCAGTGACGTGCCCCTCTCAACTTTGACCCCCAGGCCACTCCTGGGCGACAGCCTGTGCCATGAATGTAGTGCTGACGGCAGCTGCTGCGAGCTCGGCGCCATCATGGCTCGGGGCGTCCAGGAAGGGGTCCCAGGGCTTCCTGCAACTGCATCGCATCGAAAGAGCGAAACACATTGGACAGAAGAAAAGCGCAAGAATCCTCGAGCCTTAGGGGCAGTCTGTGAAGACAAATGCACACAAGCATATCCAAGCTATAATCCAAGCCAGGCAGGGTCCCGCCGGTCAAGCAAATCTTGTGGTAGCACCACTCCTGCCATTCACCCGCAAAACAAAATAAACATGTTGACACATTCGGAAAGAATGGTCTACAACGTTTACAAATGTATGGCATGCATGTGTCAGATCTGTTCCCTCCTCTCGATCCAAGCTTTAGGAAGAGTTGGGAACCATTGTTCGCATGGGCTTGGGGCTTGGGGCATAGAGTCAGTCAGGCCTGGCCCACGCCAAGTGGGAAGTAGGTCACCCGGACCGTGTACGCGACCACACCTCACGCAGGATGCCAGGGGGCAGCAATGAGTCCTTGTTCTCGGATGAGCCTGCCACCACGCCCATGATACCCGCCACTGTGCACTGGGCCAGGCCTCCGAAGTTTCAAAATCTCCCCCCCCCCCCGCCCCCCAACAAACATAAGCACTCTAAAGGAGGCTCTTTCTTTCTTTCTCTCTCTCTCTCTCTCTCCCTCTCTCTCTCTCTCTCAGCTCTCTCTGAGATGACGGCTGTGATCCTGATTGTAGATCCTGGCCCAGGGAACCTCACCATCTCTGCCATCATAGTAGGGCAACGAGTCGCTGAGTAGCATTTTGGTGTAGACTACACTGGCCAGCACTCGACTCGGAGCTTGGCGGGCCCCATGCAAACCAAGATCAGCAAAAGGATCTTCGTGGTGAGAAAAGGCTGGTCGTCAAATCCGGGACCTCTGCGCAGTCAACGTCTCACGACGGTACTGCGCTACACTGACTACACTCTGCACCAGCCCATCTCAAAGACGAGTTTGGGCCTCGCAAAGCAACCTGTCATGGAGCACATCAGAAAACATGACATTCTCCTACATTCCTCAGCAGGTTGGACATCGGCGCCTCCAGCAAACACCAGACCTCACCAGCCGCTGTCATCAAACTTCTCACATGGGGTCAGCAGCGGATTCGGAAACTGGAAAAATACCGGGGATTCAGCAAAAAGTGGAAACCGCATGAAACCACGAATTCGGGAAGGCGGTGATTCGGGAAACGGTTTCCGACTCGCGCGGTTTCCTGAATCGCGTGTATGCAATTTCCTGAATCATGTAAAGGCAGTGACCTGAATCGGGCAGTTTTCCAGAATCGCCTGGTTTCCTGACTGGCGGCGGTTTCTTGCGCACGAACCTATCACATGGCCTTCAACTTCGGAGGGCAATCAGCTGCATCTAGCTACATCTAGCTGTATCTAAGCCAATCTAAGCTGCATCCCACATCGCGACATCTGAGCATCCTGCCATTGTCGTGGCGGCATTGGCGACATGCCCGGAAGGCATTCCAGGCTTCATCTCCCACTTGCCCTCTTTGGCGTTGAACCTCGGCAAGCGAGAAGGCTCAGCATCAAGAAAAGCACAGAAAAGGCAAAAAGCATGATGCAAGGCAAGCAAAAAGGCACAAAAAATGACGCACACAGCCTATGGCCCAAAAAGGGACCTGTTGTTTTGTACGGATGTCAGAGGCGACTCAGAGCCTCGGGCTTGCGATTCGCAGAGCCTTCGGGGCGGGGCTGTTTGAGGATCGGCTTGAAGATCGCCTCAGGGCATGGAGCGGCTGGGGGGGGGGGGAGTGGAGGCTGGGGTGGGGAGGGGAGGGAAGTGGCGAAATTTGTAGAAACTCTCCAAGCGATGCAGGAGACCAGCACAAAAGCACAGTGCCTCGTTCAGCAGCGTAACGACAGCCGAGGTGGCCTTCCAGCTTTTTTTCTTAATGCGGCACTCTGCTTTTACACAAATGTGACGCTGCATGGTGCTGCATGGCGAAACAGAGACTGACAAACATGAGAGCAGCATTCAAGAACGCAAATGGTGCCTTTCAGTCTTTCTGACCATGGTAAGACTGGAGGTCAAACCACGAAGAAGTTAAAGACTCCATGGTCCAAGTCAGCATCATGCTGGGGGCGCAGCAAGCCCATAGAACGCAATGAAGCGCCACTCGACAAGGACGTCCACGAAAAAGCTGGGGCAGAACTCTGTTCATTGAATGTGGGAAGGTGAACTTCGCCATCCATCTTCCCATAAGCTCCCGACACTAGCGGCACTAGAAATGGCAAATACCTGCTATCCAGGCAATTGGGCATCGGTGAAGCGTGGATTGGGCGGGCAGCAAGGCTAGGCTGAACTGTCAGTAATTGTCAGTACATGGCCAAAGAACCAAAAGCTTTTGGATTGCGGTCGGTACACCCGTAGATCAGCGCCAGAATGTTGCGCGGATCTCTATCGATCGGGAACCTGCAACAGCACGACAGAGCCTCACAGTAGTACTCCAAATTGCCCCCCGCACCCCCACCCCCCCCCCTCCCGAAGTGCTCTGCCATGCCTCCATGTCACCTGCAGAACGGCCACCTTGGAATCGAACCTCCAGTGGTGGCCATTGCTGGCTGCAGGCGTGACGCAGCACGCACAAGGGGCTCTCAGCCATCTCAGCCCAGGGCTTTCCCCCATTCCGCGCCTGATGTCTGGAAAACTCGCGGACATCCCTCTAGTGAAGTGCACACAAGCCACAAGCCTCACCAAGATTCATCTGAGATCTACCCATCTTTGCGTACCAAGCGACTAATTCGGGATCGTTGTTAGGATCGAGTGGGTCCTAGCAAGCGCCGGACGACACTCATGCGTCTCTTGCCTGTGGCTCTTTCCGGACATACAACGCCCTCCTTCGGATCAGCCTTCTTGACAAGCCCAGACTGGCGTTGCAAAGGACACGAATGGACGTAAGTGGACACAATCATGGCTTCATCTGACTGTTGTATCCACAGCCCAGGTCTGGCAAGGCACCTCTTCATCTGAGCTTACCATGGCCTCATCGCAGGCGGCAAAAAGAAGCAGAAGAGCGTGAGAACCTTTTAACACTTGAAAGATGCGGCGACAACTTCAAGGAAACTTCAAGGTCGCAGCTGGGCCGTTCAGCAGCGACGGCCCGCCAACAGAGTCCCTATCCACTACTTCACTACTTGCTGTCGCGCAACGGCACCACGTATCCGACATGGCACATTCCGAGGAATTCTGCTAGGCAAGGCGGCAACATGTGCGAGTAGCACTTTAGCAGCTTTGGCATCTCGCATTCTGGCAAATTCGGTCCAAACAGCCCCACCCACTTCGCAGGAAAGGCCGTCATTAACAGAGTGCTGTTCGACAAAGAGACGGCAATCAACGAACCAGATGCAGTGCCAGGAGTGCCAGGTCCCTAGCGGTTCACGAGCTCGATTGTCCATCTGACTTTTGCTGAATCGCCCTGAAGCTGCCCAGATTACCACAGCTTCAAGCCTGGGAAAAACATGCAGAGGGGTGCGAGATGCGCCCATGACAGCCCTCAAGCTGCATCCGTAGGCTGACTTAGTCACCACGGTGAGTTGGGTTCAGAACCCTCACAACCGATCGCCCCCAGGCCTGGGTGGCAATGGAACTTTTTTTGCTTTTGTGCACAGCTCAGGCATCACTTTGAGGACTGTATCGTTTCAAGAATCCCAGTAATCCCAGTATCAGGTCAACACTTTGGGCATCCCGAGTGCGCCGCGTCGCGTGTGAAGACTACTTTGTTCTTCTCGTATGTGCGGCCTTGGCACTTAGGAAGGCGCGCCAAGACTCGAACGCCTTCGTTCTCTGATGTTCTCTGCAAGTGACGAGGTCCTGCCCTGGTTGTCCTGCTTGAGGAGTGGACATGATTTTCGGGACCTAGCAGACCTAGCACATGACCTCCAAAGGTCCGGTTGTTTCGGTCTTCACAGGTTGGCTTTCGGTTCACTGCGAGCCTTCAACGTGAAGGAAGCTGCCGCTCAGCATTAATGGATGATACTCTCTGAGTCACCAGCGCTCGATGTTCTTTGGGAAGAAGCGCTCGGCACTCGTCTTCGCTTCTTCAGCGCCCTCCTTTGCCTCCTTTGCTGTCTCACCGGCTTTGGGTGGCTCCTTAGCACGAGCATCAAACTATTTCAGCCTTGTTGTGGCGGACTTCCTCCTGGGCCGCCCTGCCTGTGTCACTTCATTTTCTTCGGTGCCTCGCTTAATGACCTGAACAGCTTTTGGAGATCCGCAGATGGCCCCCGAAAAAGACCCCGGGCTTCTTTTGAGGCCACCCCCTCTGCCTGAAAGTTCGCGTTGAAGCGTGACCTTGGTCGAAACTGGGTAGACACATGTATATATATATAATCGTATATATATATATATACATATATAACTATATATAGAACTATATATAGAACTATATATAGAACTATATATAGAACTATGTATACTATGTGTGTATATATATATATATATAGCAGTGAAAGGCCAGGGTCATCACTGAGTAGCCCGCTTATACTTGCCCATGGGCATGCTTGAAGTGGAATACGGCATGCCTTACGGTGACCGCACGTACTCATTGGGTCTGTTCCGTCTTCTCCTCTCATTTCGGGCTGAGTTCCAAGATTGCCAATACAGGAAATTGAGCCGTTTGCTATACAGTGGGCATAAACATTGGCAAGATGCGCGATTCTTCGGAGTAATCGGAGTAGTCTTCATACTCCTCCTCCTTGTGATATTCTGGAAACAGCATGCTGTGCTGATGCATGCTGTGCTGATGTCTGTGGTATACTAGTAGCAGATTGAAGACTGTGCTATACTGTGGTCCTCATCCTCATCGTAGTCGTCCCAGCCTCAGTTGGAAAGCTGTATGCCCATGTTGTGCCATCCTGTGCCATCCCACAGGTGGCTCGTAGAGTCTAAGCATGGGGCCATGTGCCATGCCAGGCAGGGCCTCTGTAGGTTTGTTTTCCGCGACTTTTGCAACACTGCCGAGTCTGTCTCAAGTTTGCAGTGGAACAGAAACAGGCTGGGCAACAAGGAAGCCGCTTGCTGAATGCTGATGCCAATGCATTCCATAGCAAGGTGCATTCCGAAACTCCTGTTGTGGGGAAGCCGAGATCCGTGATCTGGATTCATGGCGGGAACCACCCACTTCTCAGACCAAGCTGGCGAGTCTCTGAGTGGAAGATCACGGTCTTGCTAGAGGTTGCTCGGACGTGGCGGCCACGGCGTCAATGGTTGTACAACTCGACTACTTCGCAGATTCTGGCTTCTTGCGAATGGTTTGCACGATGCGAATTTTCTGCGGGGATACAGGTGGGTGATGCTGTGCTGCTACTGCGCGGCCGTGCTGCTACCGCGAGTGAGGGCATACTCGCGCGAGGCCAGGGGCCATGCAACCCGAGGCGGATCCATGGGCACGGTCCGGGCGACGCACTTCTCACAGTTTGGTGCAGAGTGTGATGAGGGAACGAATGAGCCCAAATGGCTAACAATGCCACGCCGATATCTCGAGCTGCGCAATGCTGAGACCTGGACATTTGGACCCAGAGTTCTTGGAAAGGCAGCCGTGTCGACCCTGGCAGGATCATTTGCTGACATGGATGTGAAAGCTCCTTGCTCACGATCGGGGCGTGGCGTCGCGCTGGGAGGGATCTGCTTGCTGCTGGCCGCAATTCTCGACTTCGACCTGTGCTCGGCAAACAGCCGATGATCCTTGCTAGACTTCAGGTGACCACGGCCTCTGCTCTCGATCCTGGCATCAAGACTCAGGCGACCGGCGCCCACATCATGGTGATCGGCAATGTGTGTTCTCAGTTGCCTCTTCTACTTGCTTCTTCATCATTTTGATCTGCAAGTCGGGATCCTGGAGGTTCAGCGCCGCCTCCTCCTGCATTTTGCTTCCGACATCAACATCTTTCGTGTCTTCAACAAAATGTGCGTCCTCCGCAGTTGTCTGCACATTCCAGCGCTCCACTGTGAATCTCACCGGCGGGCGGTTTCTTTCTACCTGCTCACTGCTCAATCAAAGAAGAACGACTGGCGCCACCGGTTGCAGTGCCTGGATACGCTCCCAAAGCTGTTCGAAGGAGCTGACCTAGAGCCACCCTGCTGCGTTCCTCGCTACTAAGCAGTTAGCAGATGAGGAGCACACGGGTTGTCCGGCAATGTCAACAATGATGTCGCCGACCTAAGCTTTCTGAGCCAAAGAGTAATTAAAAACAGGGGCCCTCGAAAGCTTCAAGGTTCGCACCTGCCAACCATGCTTAGCACCCCAAGGGTGTACCTGAAGTGCATCATGGCGTAAGGTTGAACATGGTTGAGCCGAGGCAACCGAAAGAGAATTCTTCAAGGCGCACCCGAACGACCCGAAGCTCCAGCAGCTCCAGGCCCAAAGGCCGTGAGTCCGGCAGTTCCTCGGTCCGAGCTCTGAGCGCATGGTTCTCTGGGGACTCGGTTGGGTAATGTTGGGGGCCAGGCGCTCATGATGATGCACACGCGGGGCCTGGTGAGTTGCAGATGCCGAAGAGATTCAAGAGCCAGACAAAAGTCTGAGCCACTGGCTTGTTTGTTTCCCTTTCTACATTTTCGGCTTTGTAGGCATGGAAGAAGCCAAACTGCGGTCGGATGCTCTCGGATTCTTATATGCAAAAAGGGTGGAACAGCACTGTGTTCTGCCTTGTCGAGCTTTAGGCCCTGGCACCAACTGATGTGAGCGGCTCTTGAAGCGGTTGAGACAGGGCAGGTGCACCAGGTCTGTCTCACCCTCGCCCACTTGTTCGGACTCGAACTTCTTGTTCAGACCTGCCATGTCTGCGTTGGCTGTCCTGTACCTGGACCTCTGCTTCAAATCAATGATGCGGAGCACGTCGCACGTACACAACCAACACAAGGCCTGCACACGAGAAGCGAATATAGACAAAAAGGGAACTCTGATTCGAATCCAGCATATGGGGAGTCTCAGCGCTGAACCGCAGGAGCATGGAACGAGCAGCAGCAACCAGACCCAGCTTCCTTCGCTTGGACAACTGACATTGCAGAGTTACACCCCGAGACAGCTACGTCAGCTACGTGTCCTTCCGGCAAACGCAAGTTGAAGCCTTCCTCCTCGACAGCCGCCCGCCCTTGCAAGACACAACGTACTCGAGAGCGCTTAGAGTTTTCCAATGTCTGAAGCTTGAAGTCTACACAACTACGAGCACCAGAACCGGATGCAGCCAACAGTGCACTAGTCCAAGGACTAAAGCACCCCACCTCCCACCTCTGACCCACTTGCCCACGCTGCCCTTCAACCCTTCCCCCCTCCTCTACTAGTACCGACATTTCCCGGCCTGCCGCAGTTTTACTACTCTCCCATTTGGGGCCTGGTCTATAAATGAGCAGGCTTCACGCCCGCGATCTCCGTTTTGGGTTGCCTCGCTAGGGCCTAGCCCTCTTCACTCGACATGACCCATGTATGCCATGAACGACGGCCCTGGTAGTTAGTGCTCATAAGGCCCAGACGCAGCACTGCATGGCACTGCATGGCACTGCTTTTCATCTTATCTATTCAGACTCTCGATTTGCATCTACGCGTCGCAGTGCCTTCAGGGGTGGTGCTTGTCTCGGTCGTCGTCTCCACTCTGTAGACCAAATCGCGCTGAAGAACAACGGGGCAACCCTAAGTTCGATGGCTGTGCCGCTTGTGCCCTGGCATTTCTGCCAAACTGACCCTCTCAGTCGCAAGCTCGTGGCGTGCACTGTCCCTCCTGATGGAGATGATGCGGAAGTGTGGTTGTGCAGATCGTGCTGCCCAGCGTTGCGCCCACATGCTCATGCTGCGATTGCAGGAGTATCGGCTCTTGCGCTCACTTTGACATAAAGAGGTCAGCTTGTAGACTCTCTGGACTCTAGTACCTGCAACTCTAGTAACGTCGCACAGTAGCGGCTAGCATCAGCTTGCCGTCAAGAGCCATGGGTGTCCTCGCGGCAGCAGTACTCCGTGATGCCCGAGCAAAGAGTGTCGCACCTAGGCCCGTCAAATCCTATTACGCCTGAGGAATCTTCGCGTACCGGGCCATGAAGATAAAACCCAACTTACGTTCATCGAACCAAGAAGCATGACAGGGAATTGCGCCGGACATTTGGCACGTCCACGGTGATTCTCGCAGCAGTACCACCTGGACCAGGTTGCTTGCCAAAGAGGAGCAACCAAACAAAAGCTCTTCTGTCAGGGAGCCCCTCTGCGTCAATGTCACAGCGATGGCCATCTAAACCTGACCACAGGCAAAATGAAGCCGTTGTGCTCTGCAGAATCTGCTGGGTGTCGCTGCATTCCAGAATGTTCTCTTCATTGGAATGATTCCTCGGATTGTCCAAAACATCAGAGAGGACATGTCTTGTTCTGTCAGGCTCCGATCAACCGGGTTTTGTTCTTAGCTGAGTGGCAGCCATGGGCATGGCGAGTTCTGCGGCAGCACCTGCGCGGCATGAGTTCCAGTTCCATGATATGCAGCTTTTCAAGGGAGGGGATTCAAACATAGAATTCTCCAAGGGGCCTTTGAAAACGACTCGACACGTTTGAAGGCAAGTTGATCAATTCCGGGGAGGACGAAGGGGGAATTGACTGAGGCCATGCATGACAGTACGGGCGGAAGCTTACGTAGCTTCGTGCTTGTTGCGTGCAGCAGCCGCGAACGGCCAGGCGGAAGGCTAGTCGTGCGTTTGGAGCCTGCCTGTAGGCCATGGAGAACAAAAGGGTATTTTGAACAGCTCCCACTCGTGAGATGCAAAGGGTGTATGTCACACCCCCTGTCCAAGAGTTGCTCGACTGGCTCAAATGCCCAACCAAGCTAGTTTGGGGGCCTTCGGCAGCTGCAGTGCTAAGCCTTGCGTTGCAAGCTCGTGTCGCTAGGAAGGTAAGTCCATCTGCTTCGTCTTTGAGGGTGCCACACTCGTCGTCTCCAGGAAGTCTTGTATCCCTGGCACCGCCGAACACGTTGTGACTCGAGGTGCTGACGTGTGCGGTGCACTGTGGCGCATTGCCTACAAGCAGCCGTAAGCCGCCGGGAGCTGAAGGCTTCGCAGATCTCCGGCTCGCACAACTCAGAGGCACTCTGGGCACACATCTGAAGTTCACTTGGTGATCAGTGGAATATCTGGTATCTGGAGTGGAGGGGCGAGGATCACTCCACTTCGCATCTTCCAAGGCCCCAGACAGCGTCAAAGGACGTGTTTGCGATTCCGAGCCTTTCGACGAGATTTGACGAGATTCAAAGCTCTGACTTGGCAGCAGTTGACTCGTTGACTCCAACGGCGCCTGCCAAACATGAGGTAGTTGTCCACGACCGCGGGGCAATCCGTGATTCCCAGCACATTCACCAAGCTCATGCCCTGGGAAGGCGAAACACAGCACCGGCTAATGAGACGAAAAGGCCGTCAGGGAAATCTGAGGTGTGAGCTGGACAGAGACAGTCACAGAAAGCCAGGATCTTAGTTCCGAAATCATGGTGAACTCCTGCAGTGCACAGTGAGACGAAGTGCCCTCCAGGCTGGGGTTGCAGCATCCAGGCGGTCATGGCACTCGTCACGGCGATTGTACATGTCCAGGTCCACCAGGTGCTGCACCCAAGGTGACATGTGAGACAACTTGAATAAGTGAAACAACCTACTGTTTAACACCCGTGGCCTCGCAGCCAGAGAGAATATAGCTGTAATCAAAGGGAACTTTAACCTGGCAACCGGGTCGGACTCACGTGTGCAGTGACATGATTTGCCGCATGCTCGGGCAAGGGCCTGCTCTGGGATTAGGTTTCTCGGGCGCATGCGCCACGCAAACTGGCTGTAGACGTCACAGAGGTTGCTACTCAGCATGGTACAAAGTGGCAAGGGGTCAGATGACTGTAGTGCATCGTGCTCACAGTTAAAATCTTGAAGCTTGGGGGCACGCATGCATTCCTCGCGAGTCTCGAAGCTGCAGCCTTGCGAACAGCAGTGAACAGAGTCTGGAGAGCATCCTGATCACGTCTTCAACCCTTTTCAACCCCTTTCGGCCCTGCGACCCTTCTCTGGGCATTCCACCACCATCATGCAAAGTTGGTCTGCTCGCCGTGGTCATTACCGCAAGGGTCTTGCAGTCAGGCCTCGGCTTTACGACGAAATCCTACAGAATGGCTCAATGTAAGGATTTGAATTTGAGTCCTCCACATGCGCTCCAGGTTTAGCCCCGCATCAATCATGCGGCACATCACCTCGGGCCACGCTGCCAAGCTGTACTGGAAAGAACGGAACAATTCTCGCTGAGATGCTTTTTCCTCTGTCATCGTCTGTGCGGCTTCCGAGAACGACATATGAACGGGGCTCCAAATTTGGGAGCGATATCCATACTCCATTGCAAGCTGCAGGCCTTTAACAACCTAATTTTAGCTTTCCGCAAGTGCGGGGACATGAAGTCTGGCTTTTCCTAGACCACAAACTGCTGTTGAATTTGGAATCCAGCACTTTAAAGAGAGTTTCGAAAAGGGATCTGCTTTTCACCCTGGAGCCGGCGAAAACTTGAACGGCTGAGGTTTTTAACCCCAAACAAAATTCTAAAAACCGAAGAACAATTTTACTAAACAAACCTAATCTGCTCGTGTTTCCTCACGTGCAAAGGTTTTATTAAAAACCCAAATAATTTTCAACATCCAAACTTTTAGCGAAGCCCCACGTACAACAATCCCGACTTCCGCACTACGGCGACCACTTTCTGAGCAAGACGTCGTCTACCATCCTTCAACTGGGACATCTGAGCAAACCAATGCGATACCTCACCTAAGGCAGCCGACTGAGAGCTCCCATGTATCGTCAGCAACTCTCTTCTGGAGCCTGGCACGTACCCAACACGTCACAAAAACACCCCAAACTGCTCTGAGCCGTTGGCAAAAACTCTCTGTTGACCCGCAAACACAGCCAGCCGTGCTCCCGCAGAAACGTGGTGCAAACGCCAGGCCTGTGCTCATGTGAAGTTGTGAGTGAAGCTTGAGAGAATTGACAGGGCTCCCGTTGAGTCTGCCCTGCTGCCCAGTGGCCAGTTATTGGTCATGGCGCAACCATTGCGTAAAGCCACCGGGTTCTCAGTAAGGCCGATTGCTGAAGACCCATTCTGGTGAGACAAACAGAAGCAAAATGGCCCTGAGGGTCCCGCTGACTCGAAGGCGAGCCAAAAGTCCTAGTCTGCCCAGCAGGTGCCATCTGAACATGAGTGGATGCAAAGCGCTGGAAGCCTTGCATAGCTGCTGAGAGTGTGAGCACCCCATCGGGCACTGCGAGATTGAATTCTGTAGTCTGGCCCCGACCTGACAGGGAATTGACGCTCGCCGCTCGTCATGCTGGCAATGGTTGCGCACCTCGATCATGTACTCTGCCAGACCAGTAACGTCGCAGTTGTCTCCGGCCAGCTGCTGGCAGTCAACCTGCGCTTGAGTATCACAGTGCCTCAAGCCACGCAATGGAGATAGTTCAGGTGTGGCGACGGGCGACGGCAATGTCATGTGACGATGTGGTGTGATCCACTTGCCGTGCCATCTGCTGCATGAAGGTCTCGTCAAAGAGGGCAGAGAATGCATCTCTCACTGCGTCAGTCATCCTCACAGCGGCGCTTAGCCTTTTGGTTTGGCATCAGAGCTTTTGCCATGCAGGGCACAAGACAGTTGCCACGGTTCTCATATGCATGGAAGGAAACCTTGCAATGAAAGCTCCTTTGGCCTCATGGCACATGTTGCTCCATATTCTACGACACTTCCGAATGCAGACCCAACGCATCCCACGCCAAGAGATACTGCAAGGAAGGCATCTCCGAGACCCTATAGGTCATATCCTGGATTCCTGAAGCTTCCGGAGTCCTGATTTCAGGTATATGGGCTATCCAGTTAATGGCCTTCATCTTCTAAAGACACCCCTACAGATCGCTCAAGGAGTCCTGATTTCCAATTCGATCTCGGGAGCTGGACCTTCGATGATCTGACATCGTGCAAACACCTTGGAAAAAAACTCATGCTGGGACTCAGGTCACAGCGCACTTCGCACGGCGCACCACTGTGATGCAATTACAGTTGCGTGCTGTACTCGCGGCGGGCTACTTCATATGACACGTGGCCGCAAATATCGGCGGCATCTGAGCTCTGCACGCCATGAAGGAGGAGGAGCAACACACCCAAGTCCATGACTCTGAGAGCTGCCGAACCGTCACTGATAGTTGGGCATGGCTCGATGGGTGCCGCGGACGAGCTACGGTGAGACAGCCATCCTGGATGGCATTCTATTGATTCTATTCTTCAAGCCCTGTGTGGCAAGTTGCTGCTTATGCTGGTTGGCAAGATTTAATGATGGTTCTGCCAGCTTGGGCGAAGACACGGATGACATGAAAAAACAACTCAGCTGGCGCACTCTTCTGTATACTATACACATCTATGTGTGGTGGTCTGCTGGGGCACACAAGTAAGCAGCGGAGCGAACCTGAGTCACCTGACCTTTCGGATTCCTGAAAGGCCAAGGGCAGTAGATGCCAGCAGAGCTGAAAGATCTGGAATGTGCTCAACACCCTATTCCGACGCTCGTTTTGTTTAAATAACAGCAGAGTAGAGCTGAAAGATCTAGGATGTCCTGAAAACCCCATTCCGACGCTCGATTTGTTTAAGCAACAAATAGTGCCAGCAGAGCTGACAGATCTAGAGAGTGCTGAAAACCCTTTCCGACGCTCGTTTGCCAGCAGAGCTGACAGAGCTGGAGATTGCTGAAAACCCTTTCCGACTCTCGTTTTGTTTAAGCAACAAAAAAAGCCAGCAGAGCTGACAGATCTAGAGATTGCTGAAAACCCATTCCGACGCTCGCTTCGCAAAAGCAACAGAAGATGCCAGCAGAGCTGAAAGATCTAGAATGTCCTGAAAACCCCATTCCGACGCTCGTTTTGGACTTCTTGTGTGATCCTAGTCGCGGGAATCATGAGCAAGAAGGTTGCCCCACCAAGTTTGCTTCGTTTATGTATTTATTGAATGCAAAGCTGCAAAAACGGCTACATCCATGCAATGGCAAAGGCTGCCAACGATACGACACGAAGACATGGCACGACATCTTTTTCTGGGACTCAGGGCCGCAGATACTCGGGAAGGAACCGACTCCGAGGTGGTTTGCCTTGCATCTGCAATCATTAGGTACGGTTAGTACGGTTAGTACGGTTAGTATGGTTAGTACGGTTCCATCCGTGTCTGCTGGTCTTGCTGCCTTTCTAGCAGCGAAGAAGCCCACCACCGTTGCCGTTGCTGTACATACGGCTGAAGCTGCGAGAAGCTGATGGCCCTCACGACACCTGAGCAGGTTGCGCATAAGTAGAGTTTCAAGTTGTAGGAACCCACGCGTAGAATTCGTTCCCAAGCTGTGCTGCAGACCTTGCATCGAACCGGCTCTATCTGATGAGAATCGGCCCAAGGATCACGAGTAGAACCTCACGACTTGAAATGCGAGGACGTTGAGGGTACTCCACAAAGCCACAATAGAGCGAGCTTCTGCGGGCCCCGGCGATTAAAACTACAATGGACAGGCAACACATCCATTTCCTCCCCTGGCTCAAGGAGTGTTCACTTGTGATTGATCTGCCCATGTGCTGGTGTGTGCCGAGGTGTGCCGAGGTGTGCCGCGGTGTGCCTGCATCTGTGCCTTTCGGGTCTTGATCAACTCCTGACGTCGATGCTGCGCCATTTACGTGTCATGCAAGCTCTGACGTGAGGTGGCCTGCTCGGCTTGGGCAGTGTACCCCTTCGTGTTGTTCACATGGACCTTCGCAGTGCAAGGTATTCCAAACCTCAAAGAATTCACGCCCTTGAGACTTGACGATGCCTCAATCGCATCCAACATCTCCCCCTGCGCATCCACGAGAACAGCCATCTCCTCGAACATCTGGGCCTGTCAAGGCTTGAGATACCCACATCTTTATTTGCCCTGCACTGGGGAACTCGGCTGAGCCCTGCACCAGGTCAGTAATGCTCTGCTCCAGCCGTATGATGTCCTGCCGCACAACTACATGCCCCTGACATGCCCTGACAGGTGTAGCCTTCATGCGGAAAGAAGTAGGGAAGAAGATGTACAGAAGAGACCTGGACATCTTGTTCTATTCTCCTTGTGCTTGTCCTGTATGCGCCGCACCTCGTCAAGGAGTCTACAGCAAACCAGCAGCTTCATCGGAGAGCCCCCCTAAAGCGTTCCCTGTTCCCATCCTCATCCAGGAGGAGAGCGTGGGTGCCGGCCATCCTGTCGTGGAAACCGCCAACTTGACATACCCGCTTGAGCACATAGAGTTCTTAAACTACCTTACCCACATTTTCTGCTTCCTGACAAGGGGGGAACTAGGTACTTCTTAGAACCCAAACTTCCTAGTTCCCACTGTTGGCTATGGGCCAGTAAGTGCAGAGCTCAGCTTCTCCGAACATAGAGCTGCTTCTGAGCACGTCGCTTCTTCGCCACCATCAGCGCTGCAGTTTGCCCTTCTGAGATCATCTCTTGCCGCTGCTGCTCTGTTGCCTGGGACTGATTAGCTATGGTTTGGGGCTTCACGTCTGGGATGGTTTCGGGATTCCATGGGATTCATGCTTCAAGCGGAACGCCTCAGGCATAAGAATCTGCATTTCTCGAAGTTGGCGATGCTCCAGGGTGCGTTTGAAGTCCATCTGAGCCTGCCACTGCACTGCCGCCAGCAAAACTGTGACCAAAGAAACGGCGGACGCCGAGATGCTCACGCAACTGTTGCTGGGGATCCAGTTCAAGCGTGAGTCAATGCACTATGTACTTGTAGGCTTGCTGAGGTCTGCCATCCTTGTGACAAAGTGCAATGTGAAAGCGCCCAGAACGGCATAAAACTGAACATTTGTCGAGGCGAATGATTTGTCGTTTCAAAACAACCTGATCAACAGTGATCACAGTGATCGCCGCTGGGCTTCTTTTCGAATTACATCGGGTGTTCGCTCGGCACATGTCACACTACGATCGGAAAGAGATTCGCAGGACCCATGGAGGCACATTGGCAACTGCAAAGTCATTGCCACCCTCCCGAGCATGCAGTGTTGTGTTGAGACCTCTAGCCTCTAGACTATAGACACAAGAGCTATCAAGCGTGAACCAGAATACTTTCTGTCACTTGCGACACCTTCTGGAAGTCCATCAAGAGCTGCTGATGCCTGAGATAACTTGGAACTCCCCGGTCACTAAGCCTGCAATGAGTCCAGATTCCGGGCAACCCACTTCTTGGCCATGGCCTGCTGCATATTGGTCCTGGGATCTGCTTGCTCGCTGTGAAAAGGTTCTGGTGTGTCGCATTTGAGCCTAAAGGGCTTAAAGGAGGTTGAGGGCAGTGGCAGGAGCGGATATTTAGTGAGTGGCAGGGAAGAGTACCAATAGTACAGCTTGCAAGGCTTTGAGTTAGCCAGTAGTTGCCTTAGCCCAGAAAAAATATGGCGAAAGCAGTGCCCGCGAGAAACAGCACACCCCCACCCCCCTACACAGCCCCACCCACACACCCCCACCCACGCACACCCACTCACCCTCACCCTCACCCTCACCCACTCACCCACACTTCGCCATCTCCCTGGACGGGGAAGGCAGAAAAACCTGAATCGTGGAGCTGTCAGCTGCTATGCCAAGCCCAAGCATACTCTCATTTGCAGGTATGTTGCAGGTACGTTTCAGCACCACACGGCATGGTACGCTCACACACGCGCACACACACATATTGTTATGGGGAAAAACAGGAGCAGAACTAAGTTCTAATAACACACACGTGTTGGATGCTTGCGTGTTAACGCGCGTTGCACGTGGTGACTGGGGGTCCGGTTAAACAGGTTGGCCGGCACCCGAGTAAACGCGTTTTAGTTTCGGGTGTAGTGTCTGTCGTGACCTGGCAGGTTTGTGAAATGGATCTTCCCAGCCCTAAACCCTAAAACCCTAAATCAAGCCCTGTTCTCAAGATGCGCTTTGCAGGTCCCAAAAACGCATTTTAACAGGGAGCCCTGTCCGAGATCACAGCCCCTCCCCCTCCTCCCTGCCTTCCCCTCTGCAGCTACAGTGAATTTTGGAGGAAAACGCATTGATCCCCCTGCTAGCTTGGACTGCCTAGACAACTCACGTGACCCTCCCTTCGGCGTTTTTAAACACCTGGAAAACGCCCTCTCCTTCCTTCCTCCCTGCAAGCAAATGCGTTTGGAATGAGCTGGAAACGCATTCCCCCCACCCCCCGCCCCGCCCTCCTGCTTTTTCCCCGCTCGAAGCGTTTGCGATGGCCTGTTGACGTCCTTCCCGCCGCAATCAAAAAGTGTTTTCGGATGCTTGGAAAACGCATCCCCATCCCCCCCTTGCTTGCCGCCTCGTTCCAGAATGGGTGTTCCTTGGCAACAAATTCCTTCCCACCCTTTCTTCCAGGCGAAAGCAAAATCCGTTTTGAAAGGCCTGGAAAACGCATTTCTTCCTCCCTTTCCTTCCCGCCACAAGCAATATGCGGTTTGGAAGGCCTGGAGAATGCATTCCACGCCCGCCCCCTTAGCTTCCCGCATTCCAACATGCATTTGAATGGGCTGCTAAACGCATTCCCTCCTGCCCCCTTCCTTCCCGGTGCGAAACATATTATTGACCTTCTGAATGGCATTCCCTTCGACACATGCATTGTGGATGGTCTCCAAATTGAAATGCCTCCCAACCGCAACCGTTTTTTTTTGTGTGACCTGGAAAACGCATTCCTCCTGCGTGTTCAATCCTTTGCGTTTCTGCGTGTTGCTGCTTGTTGTGGCCCTGCGAAGGTGTTGAAACAAGCGCGTGTTTTCTTAACATAGGAGCAGAAAGTAGAACAGTGAGCGAATACTTCGCGCTCACCTGGGATACCTGCTCTGACCTGTCCTGATCTTCATCTGCGCGGAGTTTGGCTGCTTGGCAGCTTCATCCTACACGGTTCACGCTTTTGTGACTTCAGAATCCAACTCGAGATTCATGCTTTGGTGGGCAGACCATTGCAGACTGTGCAGTGCAACAGTCACCCGCCTCGGAGCGCTGCTTCAGAACCTCCAGGCCATGCTTCACATCAGCCACGTGCTGGTTTGTCTCCTCAAAGAGCGAGAATGGAGGAGGTGGAGACTCTCATTCAACTGGGGGGTCCTCGACAAGCTTGTTGAGGTGGTCGGAAACCTCAGTCTCTCGCTCCTGCGTTGTTGCCTGCGCTGACTGAGCAGATTAATCGCTTCCCCCTTTTATTAAAGACACCCCTAATAATAAAAATACTTTCCGGAAAATCCTGCCGAAACCGAGCCCGCCTTTAAAACCCTATTTCGAATTAGGGGGGGGTTCAGGGCTCCCAAAACCCTGAAGCTAACTAAGGTTTAGGGTCTAGGGTTAAGGGTTAGGATTTAGGGCAAAACCTGCCTAGAAAATGGCATTTCGATAAAAACCCTCCCCTAATAATAAAAACACATTTCGAATTTCTATTGGGGGGGGGGGGAGGGGGGACCCCCCGTTTAATATTAGGGGGATGAGATTAATAATAGACGAAGGGAAAGGGAGAGAGAGAGAGAGACAAAGAGAGAGAGAGAGAGAGAGAGAGAGCGAGAGAGAGCGAGAGAGAGGGGGAGAGGGAGGGAAAGAGAGGGAGAGAGATGGAAGATGGAGCGAGCCTGGAGTGCCTCTTCAAGGACGACTCCCATTTCCTTGACATTGCTCCTGCCTTTCTCCAACAATCCTGAAGTTCTGGCGTGCTTCCAGACTCTCAAGACACAAAGGGGGCATGGTCCTTGGAGCTCTCGCACGTGCGTGAAGAACCTTCTCGCAGACTTCATACTTCAACGTGCCCCTCACCGTCATCTAGCCGGGGATCCGGCTCCCTCATGAAGCTGTTGGCTTCCTTGGTACGCAGCCCCAGGCTCGGTGGCCGCGCGTCACCAGATAACACAACGTATGAGGCAACTTCTACGATTTCTCACATGTACCATTACGAAGGAACTGGCACCGTCAAAGAGGATGCGGACCTGCTTCAGTGCAATCCAGGCACGGCACCGAAGCTCGCAGCTGCTGTGCCTAACACGGATGATCTTTGAATATCTTTGAGCAACTCTGGGGGTTGACTGAAGAAAGACTGAAGTGTTCACTCCAAGGGACTGGAACCAAAGGGGTTCGTGGACTTGCTGGCGGTGCCATGGTCGGAGATGAAGCTGCCTCCTCGCAAGGCCATCCAGTTCCCACACGTTCCCAAATCAAGGGGCCCTTGAAACGACCGCGTGCTTTTGAGCTCCACTCAGTTTTGATCCTGCAGCCCTCTCAACCTTCAGGAGCACGGCTGTACTTTTCGATCTGCAGAAGTGGAGGCGTTGCACAAGGTCTTGCAAGAGGCTGTTCGGTTGTAGTCGGGTGCTTCTGTTGCTTCTGTGTTCAGCTGTGATACGCCATCGCTCCGATCCAGCTCCTGCTTGGGATTTGTTCTCGATGGCACATGGTGGCACCCTGGGGTGCCACTGACTTGGCTACCCCAACTTGGCCTCAACATTCGGGAAAGTCACCTGGTTTTGAAATGCGAGGACGCACTTCAGGCTGCGCTCCATCGTGTCACGAAGGCAGAAGCCCAAGAGAAGAGCCACATGTTAGCGGCTGTATACAGCCATGCTGCATATGCGACCACTCTCAACTTGGAGCCCTGCCTCTGCAGTCTTGGTCGGCACCCCCCCCCCCGCACCCCGACGTCTGAAAACACGATTTGTCATGTCAAAAAGCACGTCCATGCGCTGGGATTTGAGAAACTCCGAAATGAACTTGCCCGTCACATGAACTTGTTTGAGCTCTTTGCTTTCCTTTCTTGGCAGAGCCTTAGCTCTGATCGGCATAGCCGTGGCCAGCGAGCTGTTGGAAAGCGTGCTCTCCTGACCTCTTGATCTAACCGAACTTCTGCAACAAGACAAGTGCTGTTTTGCTGGCTGGAGCCGCTTGCACAAGTCTCTACATCACCTCGACCTTTTGCACACCCCCAACACAGGCATAACAAACACAACAGCCATGGACAGCACTGTGCGTCAGCTGCACCTGACAAACCTCGATTGCCCGCAGCCAGCGGCCTTGCAGACCCATTGTTGGGAGCCAAACGAATAGCCGCAATAACAGGTTGCAAATTGACAAGACTCAAAGCATCACGTCATGTCTGATTTCATGCCTTTTCCTTATGTGCTACTTCCCTGGCAAGTTTTTCACTGCGCTATTTACCTCAAGCCTGCTACGCAATGCTGTTGCAACCTGCTGCCTTTCCAACTGAGACGTTGATGGACGGCTCCTTCTATGGTTCTTGGACTGTGGCTGCTTTTCCGTAGGGAATCGGATTGGGGAGACCCTTGGGGATATAGACCCTCTCAATAAGGTCCCTGTTTCAGAGGGCCAGAAGAAATGTTCAGAAGGGTTCCCTTTTAAGGGTCCCCCTTATCCTACCTAGGACCCTGGGCTGTGTCTTCCGTTCCTTGCTCGCTGTCAGTAGTGGCCCTTTCTTAAGGCCCTGCTAGGGCGGGCAAGGGGGGGTGGGAGGGGGGGGGGGCGGCGGGCTAGCGGGCAGGGCAGGTGACATATCCCATCCATGACATGTTTTTGGTGCAGGGATGCGTGCACGCTGCCGCCCCGGCCCGTAAGGTCCTGACGTGAGAGATCCCTTGGCCTGTGCCAGCCTCTGGAATTCCGCAAAGCGGTCCTCAGTTTGCAACTGAAGCACTTGAGACGGTTGCAGCGTTTTCTCGACGAGGCAAGCACTCTCACCAGCCGCTCTGCAAATGCCGTGCCCATCTTGAAAGGGCTTGGCCACACTCAGCTGAATCTTGTACTTTCGTCGGTCTTGGCTGGTGACTGGTCTCTGATTGATGTCGATGCTGTCTTTGGCTGCTCATCAACTTGGACTACAAAAGAGCAGGCACCCCTGTCGCTTTTGTTGGTTTGGTGCCGAGAATGAAATTACTGATTGCGCTTTGCCATGGATCCCGTTGTCAGCTGCCACGCGCTGCCCAATACCTGACAACCCACTCCCAGCACTGGCCAGCTGAGCATTCGGAAGGTCAGCCTTTTTGCAATCTGTGTCGCCTGCATTCAGCCGTGAGACAAGAGTTCATGACGCCCCTGCTATCCCCTCAGCCTCCAACTCAACTTTTCGGAACTTCACTTCAATACCATGTGGCTGACATATCCTGACATGCAGGGAGAGGCCAGCATCATAGGCGTCAATCCTTGGCACCTCTGTTATCTGTCCTCTGGATGTATGTGACATACGGCATACGGACATACGCCCCAAGCCCGGAGGTGTTGGTCACTCCGTGGGACGACACATTTCCCGGCAACTTCGACTCTGCGAAGTGCGATATCATTCTTGCAATCATCGCACTCTCCCTCAAGGAGATGCAACAGTTGCAGCCATTAACAATGCTGGCTGATCGCGGGTTTCCCGGGCCAGCCCTTCACGTGCCTTCTCAAGCTTTGCAGCAGAGCACGACAAATCACGTAGAAAGCTCTTGAAAGCTCTGTTAACCTAATTCTGCAGCATGATTGTAATTGTAAATTTTGTATCAGCTTGGCTTCCGTTCCCAACCTCCGTGGCGATGCCTTGCCAGACGCTACTGGTGCTACTGGGGCTACTACCACTGCCTCTGGCCCTTTCAGAATATTGCAGACATCCAGCTTGGTGTCGGAGCAGCCTCAACAAAAGCCACGGACAGGTTGGAGTTCTGGAGAATAAGTCGGCGGTTTTCCAAAGTACCTGCCTGCAAAATGAATAACCAGAAGGTAGGTTCCCTTTTTGGTAAGGCTTCCCGGATTCCCGTTTATTGAAACTCTTATCCCATGGTCTGTCCCTGCAAACAGGACTTCTCGAACAACCCATCGCAAGGAAGTAGCGAGGAATGCGAATGCCCCGCCTTCTTCACCTTGCCTGCCGGGAGCCTGGGCAGCGCATCCGCCTGCACGTACTCCACGGTGCCTCTCAGAGCGTCAGAGCAAAAAGGGATCGCGGCTCTCGTTGATGCCCTGAAATTCTGAAAGCACTTTGTCTGCTCTCGGATGCTCTCGGAGCCCGGCTCTCTAAAGAGGACGTCGTATAGCTACGAGTTGGAGGAAGACCTTAGGACATATTGGATCTTCAACTGCACATGCAGCTCGAATGTCCGAATGGCATGGCTCAAGCGGCTCAGGGGCAGGCGGCCACGACCTCGTGTGCTAGTGACACTGGACGCCATGCAGCTCGCATGTCCCGTGAGTCTTGAGTATCCCAGCGGAGCGTCAACTACGACTACAGCCAGCAACGGCAACCACAACGACGAGACAAAGACGAAGACAATGACGACGACAACCAGTGTGCAACTACTCGTGTTCCATGTTGCAAGCATGTGATGTGGTACAGATGCCTGCCGAACCTCGCCTGTTTCCCAGCCACGGTGCCAGTTCCAAAGTTGCCCTCTGTCTTGGTGCAGTGCTGCCCAGCTCGCCTGCCATCCGGGCTGCTCCTTCCTCTGTGTCTGGACAAGTTTTGCCAAAAAACGCTTCGACCAAGAGAAAAAAGACCTTGGGCGGGCAAGGATGGCCCCCCCCCTTCTCGGGGATTGAGGTTTGATGAATGGGCTGAGCTAACCGGGGGGATGCACCCCTGCGTGAATCAAAAGTTACCGTTCTCCAAACCCTGGGCAATCGATGCCAAGCGCCTGCATACTCCTTATCTTCTTGCACGCCAAACACTCCTCCTGAGCGCTCCTAGACCACAAAAACAAGGTAAAAGAGCTTGACATGTGTGCGACAACAACGACGATGACAACGACGACGACGATAACAGCGACGACAGAAACGACGACAGCGGCGTGCATAAAAGGCAAGTGTGCAATGAAAGCCCCCCCCTAAGGGCGCCAGAGTCCAAGTGATCACCCTTTTGAGAGATTTTGTGCGCCCTGCTCTGGCCTTGCACCAATGCTCCATTTGTAAGAGGCTTCGGTGCGCTTGGTCTGCTCTGCCCGGCCCATGACCTGAGGTACACTGGGGCTTCAAGTAAATTTGGATCTTGCCAATCTGCCTGGAGAAGCACGGCCACTTGCATCGTATGAATTACTGTGCTCCCGCTCAGTGCCATGCATCACCTTCTGGCTGGCAGTCTCCAGGCCAGCGGCCTTACAGGTGGCGAACTCGGAAAGAAGCAGATCGGGGAGCTGCTACACCGCAAACCGACTGCAAGCTTGGGGCGGTGGCATCGGAATCGCTGGAAGACCTACCATTTCTGAGGCAGGCACTCCTGTCACAGGCGACGTCCTTGGTCTGCCATCAAGAAATGCAGCATTGCAGAATGTTCCTCTCGCACATATACTTCTGCCAAAGCCACTGTACCCTTGTGACTTCCAAGTCGGCTTCAGCCTGCGAATTGAGTTGCTGAGGTAACCTGAGGCTATCTGAGATCCGCGGAGGTTCAAGATATGCTTCAATGTGCCACGTTTTCATGTGTCACAAAGCAAGTCCGGCTCTGCCGGTGGCGGGTTTTGGTGGTATCTTGGACTGCACGTCCAGTTTTACAGCTATACACTCAGGTGCTTCGGTCCGCGAAAGTCCGCGATCTCAGTTCCAGGCTAGAGCAGATCGCTCTTGCCAGTATGCAGATGGCTCCATCTTCATCTCAGACATGAGTCTTTGCAGCTCCGGCATGCTTGCTGCGAGCCGCTCACAGACGTCAACAGCACGAACGTTGCTCTCCAACTGGGCTGCCGAAACGGCTCCCGAAAGTACCATGGGCTTAAAGGGCTGGGCCATGATAGCCCCGAGGGCGAGTGCGTCCGGTGGCACGCCCATCTCTTGCGCCTTTTGTCGCAGCGCTGTATTCTGCAGGATGCGGCCGTTGGCCATGCCTTCTTTGATGATCACCTCCATGCCGGCCTCGTGTGCCCGAAGGAGTGCTGAGCCACAAGATTGCTCCATGAGGTTCCAGGTGGCCTGGACGGAATCAAAGGTGCCGGTGGCTAACGCCTTATCCAAGGTCTCCGCCTGTGCGACGCCGGACAAGCTGAGCCCTACTCGCCAGCCGCGCTCTGCTCGCAGCTCTCGCAGCTTCTCCAAGACTTCAGCGTTCTCTAGGACGCCGCTGTCCAGCGTCGCAGAATGAATTTGGTAGAGGCGCAGGTGTCGTCCCAGAAGTTCCTGCGTTTCCTTTTCTTGGTGGAGGAGGTGGGCCAGGGAATGGTCCTTGACTTCATGAGGCTCACCCCCAGTGTCTACCCTCCAAGCCGCCGTGTATCTGTATCCCCATTTCGAACCTACAGCCACGTCATCCTTCTCTAGCTGCTTTTGCCTCAACCACCCGGAAAGGAATTCCTCGCTTCGACCATAGCTACGTGCACAGTCGAAGTAGCGGAGGCCCAAGGCCCAAGCTGCATCCAGTACTTCCCAGGCTCGTGCTTGGAGCACCTCCGGTGTTCGTGTCTCTGGAGCCTTCAAGTCGCTGCCACGGCCCAGGTTGATGTACCCGGGCCGTCCCAGCGCGGCCAAGCCCAGCCCGAGCCTCGGAGCATCCTTCACAACCAGGAAGCTACGAGTAGTGCTGGCAGTGCTGGAGGACATGGCTTGAAGGGGTTGCTTGAAGAGGCTCAGATACACGGCGCACGCGGCGCACGCGGCCAAAGCCGAGCCCGAGAGCCGGGGGCGAAGGGAAGCTGCAGAATGTCTACTCACCCTACCCCTTTGCATCAGAAAGAACCCCATGTGGTTGCCCAGCGGCCATGAGCCTTGAAGAGTACTGCAGAAGCCAGCTTGATGCGTTTCACAGGCTAGCAGTTGGCAGCTAGCAACTTTTGCAGCGTTTAGAAAAGGACCTTGTAAGTACTGACGCAGACAACATGATGAACAAGAAGCAGCGAAGCATCACGCCTGCCGAAAGGAGGAAGCTGTCTTTGAGGCAGTGAGGCCCGGGCCTAAGCAGACTTGTCAAAAGAATCAGGTGGACTATAGCAGAACACAGAAGCGCACTTGCCTCGATCTGCTGCCTGCGCGTTAGACCTCTGTGCCAGGCGAAAGCAGAGCTTGCTATTGGTTTGCATCGCCAAATCCTCCCCCGGCCCCTGGAATCATGGAATCCACGCGGCAATGCACCCTTGAAGATTTCATCGCTCTGGGCAGTCAAACAAACACTTCTGCTGCCGACCTATGGCGGCCCCTGTACAGAGTCTGTACGGAAATCAGCACTTTTGCTCCTTTTCCGCAGACCTAGCATTAACATGGCGAGCATGAGAAGCAGCGGCCAATGCTGAGTTTCTGCAACGCCGCATGAAACCCGAAGGCCCTCATGCACAACGTCAAATCGAAGGAGCGCTCAGGCTCACACACTAATGCACATAGGCAAAGAAGCAACATTCCATACAGAATGCGCAGCAGAATGGTGGTCATGCCTTCTTGAGGGACAGCCCAAGTTGGATTCTGGATCTCCGCCGATGTGGCTGTCCACTTAGCCTGGCGCCAAGCAAGTTAAGAAAACGATGTGTAAACCAAGTGTGGACAAACCACGCGCCCTTCCCAGACCTCGGAACTGTGTCAACAGAGCTGTTTGCAAAGTGACACACCTCGCGCCGTTGCTAGTTGTCATCGCACTCTTCTTGCACTTCTGCAAAGCACTTGCGCATGCACTTGCACTTGTGTCTGCACTTCCGCGCGCTGCTCTGACCCGTTCTGACTCCTTGGATTCGGACAAGAGTGTGTTGATCAAGCTTCCTGTGACACAGAGCTTGACCAAGTACTGGCCATAGCCTGTCTCAGCCTGGGAAGTCCAGCGGCAATCCGAGCGGGGTCCTTCAAGCCCCCCCGCCATTCCCTTCTCACCCAAGTTTTCCGAGTCCGGCACTAGGATGTGCATGAGCACCGAGGGCCCTGGAGAGAAGATGGTGACCACAATGACCTGAGAACAACCCACCGTGCGCAGGAAACACGCCCCATCACCCCCCCCACCCCCCGACTTCAAAAGTTGCCAAGCTAATCTCGCTGCAAGCATGAGTTCCATCGCGCTGACGAAGCGACATTTCGAGAGGCAATGCTTGGCATGGGGACGGCCGTCATGACGAACCTGATTCAGGAGAGAATGCGATAGCTCAATATCATGTCCCCAAAGTGTCATGTCGAGGTGCAAGAGGAGTATACATGCGTAAAGCACCGGCTTATTGTTGAGCCATTGGCAGAATGGTAAGTGGCGCTTCTTACTGCCACTTACTTCGATGGCACGCCTTACAAGTAATGCCAACCGTGGAATGAATGGGGATCGCGAGCATCAGCATTCGTGTTAGGCATCGCTTTCCACACAAACACCCGCTCGAATAAGCAGAAAAAGGCCACTGTCTCATAGAGTCTTTCGCACATGAAGAAAAATGAGTACATGAACCGAAACATTTGTACATCTACGTGGTCATCATCATGCCAGTCTCTACTTGCAGCTTGGGCACACGGCCAAGATGATCTGAGCAAGCAGTCTTTGCCCCAGCACGGAAACAATAAACCTGGGCTACCACCAGATTGCCACCATGTGACCGAGAGGTTCCTACTGGTGCAAATGTGTCCATATCGGGCCTGAAGTCATTCGCAGACAGACTGAAGTCTGCGTAGAGGCCCACCAAGAAATACAGCATCACCTCCCACAGAACGAGCTGCTATCAGTGCTCTCTCGGCTTGTTGAGGTTCAGTGCCATTCGATCCAACAAATACTGCCTACAGAAAAATGGTATCAGCTTGTACTGCTTAGCGTAGTGTGGCAGGACTGCCAGCACAATGACTGTGGGGTGATCTTGGTGCCACCTTGCAGAGGCTTCCAAGATATCGCAGCCCATCATCTAAGATCCTTGGAAGTTGCAAGAAACCCCAGGTTCGGAGGGTGTGGATCAAATCAACTAGGCGGCCCAGGAAGCGGAAGTTGCATGAAGTTCAGACCTGTCATCTTTTCAAAACGAACGAGTTCAGTCTGACACACACACACACAAGCGCGCGCTGGCGCTGCTCTCTCAACTTGCAGCCATGAAGCCGATGCCCACAAGGCATGCACGCAGAAGAACAGAATCGATCACGGCCCTTACTGCCATGTCCTCGACTCGATGCGCTGCAGCTTGAAAATGCAATGCCATCAACACCAACCCTCGGGCCTTCGTTCCAGACGGCAAGCCTGCAAAAAAACCACGCTGCTTGGTGTTCCTGAAAGAGCACAGGTCTCGGAACGCTAGCTTCTTCGGGTGACCTGTGAACCAGGTACTGTGTAGAATCGGAGTGAAACAGCTCGAAAACATGCGGAAAGCTCTGTCGGTCGTGCAGCTGTGCGGCACATCATCTAAAAACATATCTGGAGCTTCATCGAAGTCACCTTGGTTGGCATGTGTGTCCAGGCGCAGCCAAGCTTTGGGGTCGAAGTCTTCCGTCTCTGCCTGGGGTCCCGGGCTGTTGTCAATCGGTGAGTAGGCGGAGGCCTCTGCTGTAACACACAGGCTCCAACAGCCATATCCCAAACGCATACACCAACATGCACGAATTGTGCGCCTGCACCTGGGGCGAGTAGATAGCTGCCACACCCCAGAGCAGCCCCTGGCACAACCTCGGAACAAAGGGGTTGACTCGGTGCACATCGGGGGATTTCTAGGCAAGCCAGTGGTGTTTGTTTTCTAGCCCATGGTGGCCCGCGTGTGCCCAGATATGCCCAGGTGCGGCCTACTTGTCGATCTGTTTCACTCTTCAGCTACGCTTCATGACACTCAGACGCAGAAGAGCACGGTGTTCTTGCGGAGTGTATATGCATCTGTGCGGCCAATTTCTGTGACAGTCTTGGTTTGGGCTTCGAGTAAGACTACCCGAACAAAACGCACAAAGATAACAGTGAATGTTATACACAGCTTCAGGTCGTTTCGTAAACACAAAGGAACTCAGAAATCTTGAGGCCAGTGCATACATTTTCTGGATGTCATGTTCAGCCATGAGCACATCCCTCCTACGGAAAATAGCGGGCAGCATTTCATGGGATTTGAGGCAAGCAGGCGAAGCTTGCTTCAAACCATTCGGGGAAACCTGCAGCATCACAGCGCGAACCTGCCGTGTTGTTTGGTTGATTTGCTTTGCTGTCAAACGATACGTCAATCGTAGTCCGATGCTGCTTTGTTGCAAACCAAGTTCCCCCCCCCCTCCCCACCCCGTTTTAGGCGACCACAATGAGAAGCACAACAGGACGTGAATTCGCCATCTTGGACTGTAGACATTGGTGCGATTTTGCCTGGTAGTGATGCAGCTTCTTGGTTCGAAACACTTCGTGGTAGACCCTGTCAAGTCTTGGACAAAGTTAATACAGCTCTAGAACACCCCTCGCCTTGCATAGCATCTTGCATCATATGTTTCTCCTCTTCAACAGAAGTGGCGTACACCGGTGTCGGCACCCTTTGCACCGAAACCAACAGCCGACAAGTGCAAGCAACTCTCTGACGACTGTTCTGGATCAAGAATGATTTCAGTACTCCGGCGAGCAGCCACATATTGGCCCCCAAGTCCCACATGACTGCACTGGCAAGGCCATCCGGGAAGGCAGCCTGCACAAAAATCGTTTCAGATTAGGACTGGGGATGAACAATCGGGTTCTAATGCTGGGCATGCAGGTTCGGTGCCTCCGCAATCAAGGGGTACGTGAAAGCCATGTTTTCACCTGGTGCACATGCTGGTTCTCAATCTGTTAGTATCTGCTCAAAGCCCCCTCGCCAGATCGGCCTTGACTCATCAGCACAGCCCAGCCAACAAGACTAGCGTGGGGTCGTCCGCTTTTCTCCATCACGTCGCTTGCCTCTCAGAAGGTTGAAGGAACTGCAGGGCTGCAGGGCACTGCAGAGGTGGCTGGGTGAGCCTTCGGCGTGCATGCAGCCAGCTGCTGGCTCCTTTTCAGCTCCGCTGTCAGTTGCAGTCAAGCTCCGCTCCGCAGGAAGAGTGTCCCAGTACACACCAAGGCTCAGAAAGAACCAGGCGATGTGAACTGCAAGGCTCAGAGGTAGGAGGCCTACCTTGCGAAATCCAACCCATGCATCACTGAAACAGGGCACTGCCATCATCTAATCGCTACGAGCCGCGAGTGCAAGGCTTCATACCGAAGTCAGCTAAATATTCATCGCCACCCCGAAACGGCCTCCGAAAGAGTGCCTCAGAGTGCCATTGACCAAGCTGCCAACTGATAGCTGAGGTTGGTGACCCACAGCTGCCGAAGGAGGTAGAGAGGGAACAGAACCTCCAGAGTTTTTGAGAGAAAGAACTTGGAGAAAAAGAGAGCTCTTAGCATCACCGAAAAGCCTTTGGCTTTTCCCAGCTCTCTTTGCATGTTGTTTGATTCGCGTTCGCGCAAGCTTTGAGTCGTAGAACTTTCCTACGCCTCTACGCAGAAGCTTGAAAGAGGCCAGCCACACCTTGCCTTGAAGGTCACATACCGCAGCAGCTCGCTCCGCTCGACGGTGAACCAGGGGACCTCTCAATCGGCGGGGACTTCTTTGGGCTGAGACCCTAGGTCCCTCTCAGATATTCCCAGGTGTCTCTCACTGGCTCTCTCTGCTTGATGTCCCGAGATGTCCCAGACTAGGTCCCGAACCTGTCGTGCCGCCATCCCCAGGCCGATCAGAGCCACGACCAGAAGGAGGGAGACAAGATGGCCGAGCTGCGCAGCAACATTAAATCTCGGGGCTCTCTACATCTCTACGCGTCTTTAAAAGTCTCTGCTCAGCGCAGATCTACAACTCCAGCCTCGTGGCTGAGACCAACGGGCCCTTCAGCAGGTTCCGCCAAGTGCATGTCCCTGCCTTCGGCTTCAGACCCACGGGCGTGAGCATTGAGCCACCACACGCCAGCAGACACCACTACTCCGCAACCCCTGCCTCTCCAGAAGCGAACCTGTGGAGCGGCATTTGCCGCCATCGGCGATGACTCCATCCCATTGGACGTGTTTGCGACTGGTAAGTTGAGTTAGGCACAAGCCATCAGGAAAAAGAAGGCGTGCTTGCGACGAGGTGTACGTAAGCTACCGATGTGCGCTGTGCTTCTATTGGAGCTCGATCTCTGGCTTGGTTTGAGATGCATGTCCCTTATCCTTGAGCCCGCGAAAGACATGCTGAGACCACTGCGAGCACGCTTAAGTCACATGACAAACAGGAAAAACAAAAGCTCAAAACGCTAGACGCAGAATCATGTCTACACAATGTCTTACTCAAAGCCCGAACCCTCAAGGCACCGCGACTGCGTCCTCGAAGCAACGATCATTAGGTCCCCTGGAAGGCCACAAGGCACAACCGCGCTGTTGAGTTCAGGGCATGGAACCGAGTAGCGGCGATGTGGGCGACTTGTGCATTGGTGGTCGAGGGACCTGCAAGGGCAAGAGGCATCCGAAGAAAACCGTAAGCAACCTTCTGCATTTTCCTCTTATAGGTTGAGATAAACCGGAGTAACGATGCTCGTGCACCGAAAGAAGTGGCGGGCGACCTGAGGGGATTCACGTGACGGACTCGGAGTGGACTGCTCCGTCGCACGGGTGGATCCTGGACATCACGCCGAATTTATCTTGAAGTTGGGCATCGTCATTCCAGGTGGATGCAGGGCCGGGCACCCTCCGATGGCAAATCGTACTTGCGCCAGACAGGAACCTGCAAAGCATCAGTGGAATCTGTCAGGATTTGCTGAGCATTTTGCTACTTTAGCCCTCAGCGATTGCCCAGAACGGCACCGACTGACTTCCAGGATCCATCAGAAGTCGTCGCGCGACCTCACAAAGCACGCATCAAGCAACAGCTACTGGGTACGACTGATCTTGAGCTCAGAACTCTACCTTTTTTTAACCGAAGCTGGAGCTGTGTAGCTTCACAAGCCAAGGCACAACGGCATCGTCCAGAAGCGGCGGGGATGCCTCTCCTAGCGAGGCCCGCGGAGGGGTGCAGGGAGGAGTCATTCTTCAGCATCATTGATGCGCTGCTCGTGTTCACACGCTGCTTCCTCCCATCCGCTGATTCAGCGACACAGGCAAAGCCTGACGTTGAAGCCAGAAAGTCTTGCCACGTTCGCACAATCAAAATGGCACACAGGCACGAATCGTAAACGAGCTCTGCTAGTAAAGCTTGCTCTGCTTGTATTTATAATTATTTGACAAGTCCGAGACAAATTGCCTTGCATCACTATGTATATATAGATATATGTATATACATACACACATACATGTTTATATATATATATATATATATTATCTCCATTTTATCTATAAAACTTAAGGATATCGGTGTCGCAAGGTTTTTTCAAGCCACGAGGCGGAAGAGCTGTGCTGTCGCAAAGGCTGCAGCGGACCTGCATGAGCACAACGCAGGTGTCTCGGATTGCCTTAAGCACCTTCTAACCAACTCCTTTGGCAAGGCAATACAACAGCGTTTTCTGGCTGTTTGGATTGACCTCCTACGTGAGTGCATCCTATGCAGAAAAACAGGCCATGCCAGGGCACGCGGGCAACATGTGGCTAAGGAAGGCACACGCGAACCTACGCACCGAGCTCGAAAACCTTCAAACCATCAACCATCCTCGATCTTTGATCCAACAACCAACAGTTCACGAACATAGCCACAACTGACAGATTTGTAGCCTCCTTGTCATTCCTCCTCATCCCACCCACCCAAACATTCCCAGAAGAGATAGTGCATGCCTGAGACCCCTGCAAACCGAACTAAATTTCCTGCATGCCAATCCCCGCCCCTATGCTGTTGTGCTTGCACGTTGAAGACACCTACGCCTATGCCCAGGCTAAGTGCGGCCCACGCCGTGCCTACGCGGATACGTAGTACAGCTTGCCTATCTACGCACCAATCAAACCATTTCTGGGTCCGTCGTCCGACAGCAGAGCTTGATCCCACGGAGCCTATGTCAAACACGACGATACCTACAAAACACGCGGCTGTGACTTACGCAACTTGCTATCCGAACCTACTCCCTGCACAACAAAGGCAAGGCACCCGACTGCAGATGATCATATTCATATAAACTGCCTATGGAAAAACACGTTGCTCATTGAACAGGAATGGCAACAGTGTTCGTCACACCTCGGCGGGTAGGCGACGAGGACGAAGATTGGCCAGCTGAAGCGTAGTCCTGCTTTGAACAAACCTCATCCCACAATCCTACATCCCTAAACCCGCAACCATAAACCCATGCATTGATGAGCCCAGAGCGGCAGTGTCCTGTGGAATCAGCTCAAGCAACGGACCATCCTAGCTAGCACATTATTCGCCCATTTACTTACACATGCTTCTTCCCGGGCAGTAGTTGGGGGAGCACTCTCAGTTACCCACCACCGACAGACCCCCACCGCACCCCCCCACACCCCTCGCCCCCCTTTCCCCCATCCTCCTTTCACCCCACTCCGACACTTCTGGCATCGGATGCAATAACCCTACCGCCTCGCTAGCTGCCTGTGGAGGACCACGCCTGCTACACCAATCCACTCTGTACCACGCCTGACCACACCAATCCATTCCCGCGTGAGAGGCTGGCGATGCACACTTTACAATCTCACCGCTTGCTCGCTGCACCCATCCCCCTCCTCTGCATCCCTAGCGCCCTCCCCTCTTCCTCCGTTATGAACTGCGGACCCCTCCATCCCCCTTCCCAGGACTTCTTCAGGAGCTGCTTCTGTGAAAGTGCCCCCTCGGCCGAGGCGGGGTCGCGTATCATTATCAAAGTAACATTTCATACTTGTCAAAGGCCAAGGAAGAAGTAACATACTCCGGAGCGACTCATCTCACATCGAGGCACGAAAGGGGAGTGGCCACCAGGCGAGGCCTAAGTGAGGTCACAGTACTACGTAGATTGCGCTCTGCATCACAAAGTGGGCCATCATTGAAAGAACTGACCACATTATGCTCAGGACGTCGCCAAGCCAACGTGATGGAGCCGACATGACGTAGGCGACATTGATGCCGAGTTCGCATGGTGAAAGTCTGGATGCCTATGGTTCGACTGCGTGCTCATGTCGAAATGATTGAAACTATGGGCCCTTCGTGTTACCCTGAAGTATATTCATCCTGTTGTGGTGCAAGGCGTCAGACTTCCAAGCATGGGCTAGTGGGCCTGCTGTCGCTGGATGCCGCTGATGTCGCCGAAGAAGAGCCGCGGTTCTCGTCAGCTGCACCTGGCAGCTGGTGCTCGACCTCTTTCTTTGCAGGGCGGCCAAGGAGAACCCACCTGGAGGCAGCCGCAGAGGAAAGGCCTGGATAACAAGTCCAGCTTTGAGAAGCAGGCTGCTGCTACAGTGCGATCCAGTCAGGTCCCGGCCGCCGACATGAGGCCTGCATCTGGCAACTAAGGCAAATAAGGCACGCAAGCAGCGGGTTGCAGATTTAAGTTTAAAATGGCTTTTGTGCTGGGCCTGTGGATGCCTGGCCGTCCATTGGGCCACCCAGGGGGCCAGGGCCACCCACGGGGCCACCCACGGGGCCACCCACGGGGCCACCTACAGGGCCACCAACGGGGCCGCCCACGGGGCCGCCCATGGGGCCGCCCATGGGGCCGCCCACGGGGCTGCCCATGGGGCCGCCGGCGGGGCCGCCCATGGGGCCGGCCGGGCCGCCCAAGCTCGTGGGTCCTTTATAGATTGTGATGTCCAGCGTTCCCACGTCTACCCACTGATGCAACAATCCGCCTTGCAGCAGGGAGGTGCCCTGCATGTTTAGCCTGACATCAGGGCGGCTGCCAGCTTCTGCACTAAATTCAAGGCCTGCCGAAGGCTCCACTTTCAACTTCCATGAAATGTGTCATGAGCCAGTAGTCACCACCTTGTAGCGCCCATTGCCTCGCCTGCGCCATGTCCAGAAACGCGAAAGCACGTGTGCAGGAAATAGGTATAAGGTAGCCAGGCAGTCCACTGTGCGTGCCTCTCTCTGTCTCTCTGTGTCTCTCTTTCTTTCCTTCTTTCTTTCTGGGGGCTTGGGGCCGAAGCCCCGGGCATCTTTACCCGCCTCTGCGTCGGTTCGGTTGGGTGCCTGGATGCAGCCTGCGGTTCACCCCTACCCCCCCATCCCCGAACCCGTCCTGTCTTGAGACAGTCCTGGCTGCTTCCTGACCCCCGCCCTGTGTCTCTTTCTGTTTTTCTTTCTTTCTTTCTTGGGGGCGTGGGCGAACCCCCTGGCTGTGCCCTGCCCCGGTATTCGGGGATCCTCGGTTTTTCTCGGGGAGATGAGGTCGGGCTTGGCGCTTGTCCCCCTCCCCAGTCCTTAAGGGTCCTTCGTGCCCCCTCCCCCAAGCTAAGCCCTTCCGTTTCTCCCCGCGATCAGTGGCACTCGGGCTGCTATGCCTTTCCTCCCGGGCCTTTCGTGTGACTCCCCCCGTCAGGGAGACCTAACCCCCTATCATGCACCTCATCCCAAGACCACTAGACTAGTATCCCTCGGCCCCCGGAGGACTGTGCAGTGAGTGTCTCTCTCTCTCACTCTCTCTGTGCACGTTCGTGCGTGCGCGCGTGCGTATGTGCGTGCGTGCCTATGTTCCTCTGCACAACATGTGAGCCTGCAAGCCCGGATGTGGATGAAGCGGCTATCCTCATCACATCTCCACACAAGCACCTGGAAGTGTCTTATCGTTAAACGGAAAGCGGCCTTGGGCCACCCAGCGGCTCCCTCGCCATGCCTGACCACTGACAGAGACGGACAAAAATATCCGAAACATCCAAGCGAAACTTCCTACAGCAACTTCGAAGGGCGCGCCTGTTGGAGGCGTGAAGTGCCTCCCAGTCTTTTATAGTCTTCAACTGTTCCAATGACTCACCTCTGCCACTCTAAAGGCACCTCTGCTGCCCAAATGGAGATGCACCTGTTGTGCTGGAGTTGAAGCTTGATCATCAGATGGGCGTAGTGTTTACAAATAACTATTAAAGCTATCACAAGGCGCCTGAGACGGGGCTTGCCATGCCGGGCCTGAGACCAGGCGAAACATTTCCCAAATGCTGGCCACACTCTCCGGGCAGCAAAGGCTGAGCATCCCAAGGCCTTCTTAGAGAGTCCCTTGTGTGCGCGTGTGTCACCCACATGGCAATGAATAGAGGCGGTTGAATTTCTGGATTCCTTCATATGCGGATCTTCTTGTGTCACTTCTTCGGAGAGTGCTCAGCCCTGAAGCCCTAAAAAAGCTCCAAGGCTCCAGCCTGTAGCCCATGCCTCAAAGCCAGCCGTCTCATTCTCAGATGAGACAATGACATACTCGGACCCGGGCTTTGCATGAGCACCCCTGGGGGCGTGCCCTGCCTGTCGGAAAAAGGTCGGATTCGATTCGCGAGGAGTGCAAAGTTGTGACACCATCCCACTTGCTCGGTATGCTCTCATGGGCACCTGGAAGCGGTGCCAACCACAGGACTTCCTGCGAAGGCAGACGAATCGTGGAAAACCATCTTGGGGTATCAGGCCCCGGTTCTTGCGCCTGGAGCACGAGCGCCCATGCCGCCGAAGCCCCCCAAGCCCGCCAAGCTGGCTGTCCCTTGCCTGAGTGGACTGAAACGACAAATGACCCTCGAAATCCTTGCGGATTCTTACCCTGCTCCCTGTTCATGCTGAGCCGTGATCCTGCTGAAGCTGTGCTGGAAAGACTGTTGAGGTGACGCGTCTGTGCAAGAAACGCTCATTCCCGGCTCACTGCAAGATGCAACACACCCAGACCTCCATAAAAGTTCCCTGATCCCTGTGTGGCCAGGAACCTAGACAGGGAAGGAAGACCAATCAGCAATACATGCGTGGATTCGTGTGCTGTGTTTCGGCTAAGTGGCCGAGGGCCACCAGGGCTTGCGGCAGAGCCATCTGCCAGAAAGCTGCGTGCTTTTTGGGAGGCAGACGCAGTTCACTTTACGAAAAAGACCGCGTGCGCCTGTGAAATTGTGGCCCATGTGGAAGCTGCCCTGCCTGCAACGAGAGCTGCTTAAGAAGCCGGCAAGAAGGGCTGGGTGGGCAAGGCATGAGATTGCACGTCGCAGCCGACCCTCCACTCAGCAGCGCAAGCACAAACGTTGACTCAGGATCCGGCACTGATATACTGTATATGATATACTGTTGTAGCCAAGACAGAGTGACTCCACGGATGCGGCACTCTCAGCCCTAGATCCCGAGTCTTTAACCACATGTGGGGGCTGTACTATGCTGCAATCTGGAACCCCTCTGCCTGCTGAATCCTCCACTGTAGGCTGGGGTGCCATCTGCACAGAGAAGTCTACGAGAAACTTCTCTAAGTCCCAGACCAGGATCAAGTGTTTGCTTGCACCATGCGCCCATGAAACTGAAGTCAATACCGGCCTCCCATGCCACTGTCAGGAGAATACCTCAGGCCACCAGGAGGGAATGTCACGTTCTACGTGCCTGGTGCGTATGCTTTGATCTGGCCCTGGCACAATTGCACAGTGTCCATGTCACTCTGGGATCCTCGGCCACTCCTGCGTGTTGCCGTATTGCAGGCGTACTCCACGAGGCCTCTGACCTTGGGAGTTCGGAGCAAGAATCCGCAAGAATCCTCTGCTCTTTCCACGGTCGTTTTCAAGACCGCCGCCCTCGTTGGATGATGGAGCACGCCTGCAGATCGGCAACTTTGTGCGTGCGGGCGCTGATGGCTCTAGATTTTCTTGGCGCGAGTAGAAGGGCACCTAAGAGAACTTAAGGGCACCTGGCCTGAGAAACTGCAATGCGTTGGCGGCCTGAAAGTTGCCTTGGTTGAAGGACGACAAATCCAGTGACCCACAAGTGACATGCTACTTGACATACTGCACGTCGTCCTGCAGGACCATGATGAGTCACGAGTGAAAGACATTCTCTGAAAACAGCAAGAAGGGATAAGAAGGAATAAGAAGGGATAAGAAGGGATAAGAAGGGATGCAAGGCTCAGCTGCTGACTGCTAACATGCTGGTGTGCTTGGTTCTGGATGTGCTCCGTCCTCTGGCTTTTCAGCTTTGCATCCTGGCAAAGCGTTCCAGAGCATCAACAGCGGAGCGCACCGAACACCCTGTGGGAATCCTCGCTGAGCAGCATCCATCGTGGCTTTCCACTGTTTTTCGCCTGGCTCGACCGTTAGATTCGAGAAGATGGGTAAGCCTGGCCCAGCCTGGCTTGGCAAGCTGAGGTCCGGGCTCGGAGGTAGTAGCGGCTCATAAAACTGGCCCCAGTGTTAGCTTCCTCCTCTTCTTCCCCATCGCTTTCTTTCACTTCCATGCCCAACTTGTTCTTCAGCTCCTGTAGCAGGAAAGAAAACACGAGAATCCGGTTCCGAAATTCGCACCACACTTGCCCATCGCCAAATTCAATCTGCCCGTCGGTCCCGAATCTCTTCTTTCAGCTTCTTTATTTTCTCTTGGGCGTTGTACAACTTGCCCTTAGGGTAGCCGACATTTGCAAGCCCCTGGTGCACGTGCCAGTCTGCGGCCTAGAGCTACCGTAGGTCCTACCGAGGCAAGTACCCCAAGCTGCTCGGCCTGCGTAGCACAGGTTTTGAGTCTTGAGACTCTCCCAATGAAACAGCCTCACCAAGTCCTCTCTTGTAGCAGAGCCTCCTCTTCTGACTTTCGCAGCTTTTCCATAAGGTCGGACACTTGGCCCACAGCTTGTGCCAATTGTGGACAGGAGCAAGCTAGCGGCATGTCACGTACACTCCTTCATGTTTTGGAAGCACCCAAACAGTCGCAACATTTGTCGGGCGTGGATCGCCCGGCACCAGAAGGCTAAGGCCGCGGGCTCTGTTTGGCCTTCTCCGCATCTTTCCTCGCCTTCTCTTGAAGTAGCAACTCCTGAATTTAGAACCATCAACGTTGCTGACTGCTTTGCCCACATTGCGTTGCTCCTGCTCTTCCACCTTGCGGTTTGCAGCTCGCAGGTCTCGCTTCGCCTCACCATCGCAGCCACACGACCACCACGGGGCTTGTTTCACACAACTCAAAGCACAATAGTCAAACAACAACATCTTCCAGGCTCCTCTGGCTGAAGCTTATCTCATCAGGCCTGGTCCAAGTCAGCTTCCAACTCGGCGATCCTTGCCGGAATCTTCTGCAATGGAACGAAAAGAGCAACGGAAAGAAAACCGGTGGCCCGTCCCTCCAGAGGTCGGTTACACGGTGCCTTTCACAGTACACGCTCAGAGACTCACCAATCTGATATGAGTTGAAACCAGGTGGATCGAGTCCGAACCAAAAAACGACCGAGTCAAACAGACAACAGGTGAGCACGAGCAGAAAGGAAGACAGCATGAGTCAGAAGCGAACAAAAGGAAAACAGCAGGTCGAGCGTGTCCATGTTAGTCCAAAATCCTGAAACCCTAAACCCCTACACCGATCATCAGCTTTTTGTTTCTGATGCCAAGGGCCGAGCGATACCCTTTTTTTGTGGGTGAGTGTTATTGGGCAAGCCTACCAGACTTATGACTTACTTCACTTAACATGTATGCCTTGTGATCTATTCATGGGTCTGCGCAAGCAAAAAGTCGCTTTGCATTTTCGAGGGCCTCCTGGTGGGCTCGAGCAGCGACTCAACTGGGATTTGATCTCTGCATTTCTGCTCTTGGTGTCCAAAGTAGGGGGCCCTTGGACTGTTGAAGGCCCGAGACTATAGGCCCATGCCTTGGACTCCAACATCTCTGATGCTGTCCAAATCGGTGGGACGACACCCTTTGCTTTTTCGGCTCAGGCGAGGTGACTCCGAACCTCTTGTTCGGACGGGTTGTGGTCACCTTGCCGCCTGCTTTACTCTACAACACTTCCACCAATTGGCCGCTACATGTCAGGATCTTCAGAACATCTACCATGCCATCATCCCCAAGTTCTCGAAGACTCCCTGCCCTGAGCTCCAGAGAACCAATGCATCCGGCTCCTTGCGAGCTTCCGCTCGAGGCGAGTTTTGAGTTCCTCGTAGTCCTCTGGCATACCAGGTCCTTGCATTGCTTTGGGGCGAACACTTTAAAAACTTGAGGACTTCAGGATGATAGAGGGTTCTTGGATTAAGGCGGTTAGGGGCTCAGAGGGGCCCATGGAAGGAGGCAGCACATACCCACTATGAAGCAAGTCTCCTGTCGACTCGGACTTGACAACCTCCGCAAAATTTCACATGATTTGAGGCTTCACCATGGTTTCACCATCACCCTTTCCAGCCTGGCCCGGTCTGCTCTGCAGCTCCTGCGCCGGTATTCACTGGTGTGTTCAGATGTAAGAAGAGTGATAAACATGCGAGGTGTCCTTCAGCTTCTGTAAGGCATCCTGCTCCCTCCTCATCGGCAATGTGAGACAACAAGAAAGATGACGAGAACAAAGGAGCAATCAGCTTCAGAAGTGGTGCAGGATCGTACAAGTGTAGCAATTACTCGAGTCCTCTCGGCAGCCGCAAGCTTGGCTTTCAAAGCCTCAATCCTGGGCGAGTCACAGGCTTGGCTGCTCGGCTCCGATGATGCGAAGCCTTCTCTCATTTGGCGAGCTGCTCTTGCTGCAGCTGCTGGATCTCCTGCCAGAGTCGGCTCTTGGAGGACACACTACTGAGACTGATGCAGATTGCTGCATGGCAGACACCCCCTAGGCCTTCATGGCACTTTCTTCACCACTTCTGGAGCCCACCTCCTTGGTGCCCTGGCATCAAAGAGCTCATTGGTGTCCGATTGAAGTGCCCTTCGCTGTCGCATGGCGAGCGCAGGCCTGGACTTTCACCACCTGGGCCGGGAGGTTAGCCTGCATCGTGCAGCAACTTCGAGGCGACTCAGTGAGCATCTCACGACTCGTTGGAAAACTTTTTGGGGTCCCGGCAATCGCTTTGAAGAGCTGCTCCGCATCGGAGACTGCCTTTGAACACATGATGTTGTGAGTCTGCCGGAAAACACAACCCAGGTTCCAGGAGGCTGCCTCATCCAATTTCGGCACAAGCTTACTTGCATCCGCCTTGGAGCTTCCTGAGACACGTCATCAGAGCAGGAACTTCCATGGAACTCTTCAGTCCAATTTGACTTAAAGTCCTGTCTGCAGGGACTTCGCTTTGGCAAAGTCGTCCAATTGCTTGCGCAAGCGTTTTGCCTGGCAACTCTTCAGACTTTACGGAGAGTGCACAGACTGAGCTCAGAGAGGGCACAGGGCTCAGAGGGCTCACAGCACCTTCACACCGAGCGTGCCCCTGCCTGCGCCTGGGCCTCCTCTTCAAGGCGCTGCTTGAGGTCCTGGAGAGAAAGCATTCTGAGACACGCTGAAGCACTGTGGTCCGAGGAACAGGAGGCGTATCACATGCCATATGTCCCCACTTCGTCTCGAAACCCGCAGCGTGTCCTTAAGCTTCTTCAACTCCGTCAACGTGTCTTCATTGTCCACCTGCTTGACGACTTCGACCTCACAGTTTCGCTTGTACTTGTGCCACCGGCCTGCAGCTGTTGTCCAGCCTCCTCCACTTTAAGGAGCTTCATCTGCTCTTCGCACTTTCGATTCAGGCTGTCCGCCCCTTGGCGAGGGACCAAATGCGTTCCTATCCTGCCGACACTGTCGGGCACTACCCCTCACTACAGGGCTCAGCAGTTTCACTCCCTCACCTTCAATGTTCGCATTTTGAGCAAGCCCTGCTGAATTGACAAACACCTTGACATCCATCAGAGCTGTCTGGGAAAGTGTACCGGTTAGCGGAACCACGGCTTCGTAATTACGATGCATCTAACAGATTGTATTGTTTCAAATTAAAGATTTCACTAGTCTGGAATTTGGTGCCATCGTGGCAGTGAAGTCAGCTAGGTCGTCAAATCTGCGACCATTTGCCAAAGCGGATGCTCTGTGAGAAGTCGCTCCGGAAGCAACGACAGCTCAGGCTCCCACGGCTCCTTTCTTTCTCCAAGAGATCCTAGTGGACAGGCATCTTTCTGACCAACTCATCACACAATGCCGGCAACGCAGCCTTCACCTTGGCCAGTTCTGCTCTAAGGTCGGTCACAGTCTTCTGGAGCTCCTTGCATGCTTTGCATATGATTGCATATCAACGTTCGGCACTCTATGGCCGCACCCTTGCACCCTTGACCCAGGTTGAGCCTCAATCTCCGCCAGAAGTATGCCCTGAGCTTGCAGAGACATGAAACAAGGTCAGGCAAAGCCAGTCTACAGCAAGATGCTCGATGCTGTAAGGGAAGAGCCGAGTTGTCTTCTTTGGCCTTGAGGTTCGGGAACAGTTCGATGACAGCTGCCTATGCGCAAGGCGCTTCAAAGTGCGCACGGCAGAGCTCAAAAATGAAAAAACGGCGGTTGGGCACCTGCAGCTCGTCGATCGGCTTGAGGCCCTCTGAGTATGGACACGTTATTTTATTGGACATGAAATTTCCTAAACTGAGATTAGGAGTACTGGCTATCTGCGGTCCTCCGTCTCCTTCTTTCGGATCATGTCCTCAGGGTTGAAGAGGTCCTGTCTTGGCATTCATGGACTCTCTAAACGGCTACCAATTGCTACCAAGTATATGGCCTTAGCATTTTTAACGATGTTGTGCATGACCTTGAACATCCGGTAAGTCCTCAGATGCCACTTTCACTTTCAAGAGGATCCCAAGCTCTCAAATTCTGCTAGGCGGCCCGTGTCTGCGCAGGAGCCCTTTCATGCAGAAGTCTGCATTCTCGAAAACATCCTCCTGTCCTGGGCTACCCCCTAGTTCGTCTCTCGCGCAACGAATTCGGCAAGGACAGTTGCGCACCCACGCCTGCCAGCTTCATTTGCAACTCATAGTTCTCTTCGATCAGCTTCTTGTGTGTCCATCCTGATATACTACAGCTGCTTCTGCTTGCTTTTTCAAGATGGCAAGCTGCGCATTCTTGCTCAAGCGCGGTCGAGTAGCGGCTGCAGTTCATCATGTACTCTTTCAGATCTTCGTCCTAAGCACATCGTCAATTCACATCTCATGTCAAGTTATCGTGTCCAGCTGAGCCGGTCACAACATAAGCTGGCGGATTGAAGTAATAGACCTGCAAGGCTTCACATCAACCAGGTCATGCGCAGGCAGATATCCCGTTCTGACTTCGGCAGCTCTCCAGCCTCATAGTTCTGAACGGATGCCAGCCTTTTCTTGCCGGAACCAGTTGTTACATGTTGTTACTACCAGTCGCGGCATTGAATCCCCCAATGCACTGCATCCAAGTTGCAGCATTTGCTTCTCCGGCTCCGCTGCCAGTATCAGTTGCTCTCGAAGATACAACAGCTCCTGGCTTCGAGCAGGATTGGTACCGCAACGTGAGACATCCAGCGTCCAGAACCTTGTAGTAAGCCGTGCGGCACTGGTTCAGCATCTCAGTCACGGTCTCCGTACGAATGTACTCACGTTCACCTCAACAAACAGGGAGCTTGAGCAAATTGAGCAACTGGGTGTGTGCGGCGAGGTTCCGGACTGTTCGGCTTTCATCTTAAAATTTCAGTCCAAGGCGCACAGAGCCTTAAGACCGAGCACAGACTGCAGGGGAACTAGAAGCCGAGGCCGAATGTTGGCCTGACCATCTCGTCCGTGCATCGCAGCTCCAAGAACTGCAGCGCTGGTGGCACCTCTTCCGGATCTTCGAAGACTGTTTCGGCGACCTGTCATATTATCATATGCCATTTACATGACTGATAAACTGCAGGCAAACACTCGCAGTTTGTGAAAGCGACTCCTATCCTTAATGTTTTGCCCAACTTTCCCTCTGGGCCGTCTCCGCTCGAACCCTGGTTGAAGGCAGGACCTACAGCAGCTACCTTGCTTGTTTTTCCACGGGCTTTGATACTGTGGCAGGAGCAATTGCGCATGGGGGTTTCCAGAAATCACTCGTGTTGAGCTTTGAACAACAGGCTCAGGTTCTGCTTGGCTTCATTTGCATTCACTCTCTTTTTCCTACTACATGTTGTCCTGAGTAAAGGATACTGCAAAAAGACATTTCCGCCTTCTGATGTCCAGGCAAGCCAAGATCCTCACAAGTCAAGCAGAGTCGAGCACACCATACCGGGCTCACAAGCTGGGCCAAACGTCCTCGAAGATCTCTGTGTCTTCAGCTGGCAGGCCGCAGTTGTACTCGATCTGAAGTGGCCGCGGCCTGGGGATGAGACACACCCTGACAGCGAAGTATCATTGCACTGCACGAGCATCTGACTCCGATTCTTCTGCCACATTCTTCCAAAGCCTCAGTGATACATGCTTCGGCTGCCACTCTGGGGAGCCATGAATCCACCAAACACCGCTTCGACTTCGAGGACCCAGCTTTTGTGCAGAAGTTGATCCGAGACCAGTGGCACCTGCACGTGCTGTCTTGGAACTTGTCTTCAACAGCTTTCTGGCCGCTAATGATCGAGGTTTCCGCGCCATTCTTCCTGCCCAGCTAGGCAAACCCAAACGCCTTTTCGAGTATGGAGCAGCTCGGAGCGACTTTTTGGAATCAATGGACACCGACTCCGCGTGCCATTAGCAGTGAGAGTAGGAGGTACTCACCAAGCTTTGCTCAGCCTCTGTGCAGAGCTTAGAGAAAATGCACATAAGAGCGCTGTGCAGCAGCTCCGCGAGGAAGCAGTTGCCTCGGAGTCTCGGAGTAAACATTCCCACATGAAAGAATCAGTGGAAACTGAACCCAGCCCCCGGGTTGGTTGAGTTTTGCCTGGCCTTCTTCTTGGTGCCAGCATGGCCACTTGGGCAGGTGATGCAGACACGTATGGGCCCAACCTGACAGACACAGGAGAAACACGGACGAGAAGCACACTGAAACAAAGGAAGAAAAACAAGGAAACAATGGTGGACTTATTTTGGGGCCGATATTGCTGGGCCACTTCTCAAACTTCGTCAGCTCCTTGAGCATCCTTAGCTCGTGCAAAGCCAAGGAATGCCTCGGAGCTACCTGTACAAAATGTACTGTCTCGTCTGCTTCAGAGTCACTTGCCCAGCTTGTCCTGATTGGAAGGCGAAGCGACTGTGTTGGCGAGCCCTGAACACAGCGTGAACACAGCGGATCACAGAGGGAAGCAGCCCGCAAAATCTCACCAACAGAGGCGTCGAAGAGGCTGCGATCTGCGAGCCTGAGTCACCAGAGCGCGCAAGGCCGCTGTAGTGCGCCTCAGCGTCCTTGAGCCTCGCGAAGAAAAGCAAAGGAGGAAGGCGCAGAACAGCAGGGAGAACAAGTGAATTCAGCTCACATCTTTCACATCCTGCATTTCTGGCCGGCCTCTCTTGCATCAAGGGATCATTCCTGTCGAGTAGTTGAACCTCATGAGTGGCGGGAATGACTGAAAGTCATCGGGCGTTTACGTGTCAATTTCCAAAACATACCAAAATGCCGAAAATTTGGACGAGAGCTGAACATGAGAATGTGCTAGCAAAACCCCAGCTCAACTGGCAGACTCGGACAACCGACCCAAGCTAAGGGTCGACACTAGATGCCCTGGCGGACCCTCCTAACGGAGGATCATGGTCTCTGAACCCCGGTAGTAGCCTAAAGCCGCTTCCGGCGCTCGTGTCGGGGTATTTCTGTGATTTTTTCTGCTGTCCAAGTGGCCTCAAACTCAGCCACTTCATCGATGCTGCGGTCAGGTCCCCTTCTGCGCCGCGGCTGTCCAGCACCTTCAGCACCTTGCTCTGGATCCTCAGCGAGCCTTGCGATGCGCAGAACAAGCAGAACAATCACAGCAACATCAGTCGTTGATGACTTGGAAGCAGTTGAGCTGGCGCCGAAAAAAAAGTCTTCACCGAGGGCTCGCCGAGGATCACTCGCAGTTCCATCCGGTACTTTGTCTTGGCAGGAAAGCAAGGTGGCTTGAAGCGGCGCTTCGAGCCGCCGACGGGGGCCATTCTTCCTCGCAACATCAAAAGAACCTCTGACAGAGGCGACCCCAGGTTGCAAAATGTCGGGGATGTAGGGCCTAGCACCACACGGACAGCCACACAGCCTGAAATGGCAGAGATTGGCTTGCGGGCTGCAAACTCCGCGTCCCACACCACCTCCTGCGCAACAAGCGATGCACCACAACAGTAAGGTCGGCCGGTACCATTTATCTTCCTTGTGTCGCCGCTAGGCACAATACGTCAAAAAAGAGAACACAAAAGCAAAGGGGAGGGGGGGGGGTGGGGAAGGAGGCGTGGTGCATACAGCATCACAGCATCCTTCTCATGATCGTTTTGTGATTTCACTATATTTCTTGCCCCTACGCCCTGATATGCATGTTGGGCTCCTCCTGAATTCCACGCTCCTTAAGTTTGCTCAGGCTTGTGCAACGGTTTTGCCCAACGGAGCGAAGCCGGGGGTGGGATCACGGTTGGGCCCAAGTCTGTTTGTAAGGCATACCGAACGCTTAGATTCCCTGTTGCTGCTACCTTATTTTCAGATTCCAATCTCCATTTTTCCAATCATGGGCTCTCGCAATTCAGACCGAAAACTTGCTACATCTAAACCCTGAACCCTAACCCTATGCCTGAACATCCCTGAACCCTCTTCGATCACGAACATTTCGTAGAAGGATGACCTGATGGGGTTTTGCAGTGTAAGGTGCCATGGGTCTACTAGGAAGGTTTAGTGAAGTGCGGAAGTGGCTCGAACTGTTGCTTCCTGAAAGGTGGCTTCCCTCCGTGGCCAAACTGCCTTGTGTATGGGCACTCCTTGGGCCCTTTGCCAAGCTTGCCGAGGTTCGTGAGCTCAATGCTGACATTCCTCAAAGATTCACGTGTCAGTCAAAGTGGTTGCGGATTCTGGACAAAGGCCAAGACCAAGACACGTAACAAGCGCATTGCCGTCAGACTAGGCCAGGAATCTGAACAGGGGCGGCGAATCGGAGAGCTGGATGATCATTCTCTGGCAGCTCCCGCGTGGTTTCGCCCTCCTTTCCACAGAAGAACCTGAAGCTTGCAATTCGCGATTCCAAACTTAAAACAATGACCCAGGATGATTCAGGACATTCAAGAATTCAGCTTGGCAATGCACCAAAACATGCCCGAGCTGAGCAGCTTGGGAAACGGAGATTGTCTGAAAGCCAGGTTGAAGCTCTCGACGTTGTTCTGCGAGACTCATGAGGGGTGCAAGGAGGTGCAAGGAGGTGCAAGGAGGTGCAAGGAGGTGCAAGGAGGTGCAAGGAGGTGCAAGGAGGTGCAAGGAGGTGCAAGGAGGTGCAAGGAGGTGCAAGGAGGTGCATGGATGTGCAAGGTGCCCAAACGCACGCCTTGAGGAAGTCATTCAAGCCGATAGACTGGCCCACCTGCTGAATCCTGAGATCTCAAGAGTTCTCAGACAGAGTTCTCAAACGCATTTCGCCTTTCTTCCCAACACTCCGGGCGCGAGGCAACGGAAGCAAGGTGCCTGAACCCGCGGCGCCTGATTCGGCTTTGTTGTGAGGGAACCTGCGCGACTCGAAGGCTGCGGCCCGGCCGAGTTCGACTTTGTCCTTGGCATCCGTCGCGTTCACATCGGTGTCCTTCCCATCTCCTGGTTCCACGGCCAAAAAAACATAAGGAAATTTAAAAAGAGGGCATGACGTCATGAAGCTTGAGTCTTGGCTTCTCAAAGACCCTTTGCAGGTCCTTTGCCTCCGTTTAGGCCACCATTGCCACCGTTACTTCCGTCACCGCTCCCATTCGCCTTGGCTGCTATGGAAACTGTTGAAGCAGGTGGGCGGGTGTTGCTTGCCCAGGCCGGAACTGCGTCGGATGCCAGGGAGTCGCTCTCACGACTGCCGGAAAAGGAGAGAGAGAGAGTCAGGCACTCTGTACAGTCTATGCAGGCTCATCACGGCTCACCAAGCTCCTTGAGATCATCTGGTTTTTCATGTCTTCAGCCGTAAGCTTGGACTCCCAACCTTTGCAAAGTGGATTCCTGGGATGGGCTGCGGTGAAATTGCTCTGAACCTAAGCACGCAGCTCTGGTGATGAGCCATGTCTGCCTGACAAGTGCAGGCAAAGGCAGGCGCCTGCCCGTACATGCACCATTCACCGCACATGTTCTTGCACGCGCGGTGCGCGGCCGAAATGCCCTTGTGGGGCCTTGCGAGATGCTACGAGAGCTACGAATGCTTGCGCCTCCTCCCTCGCGCTTGCACGTGCGCTGGCGGAGGCGAGGTGGTGCGGCGGGCCCTCAGGGCCCAGGAAGGTCAGAAAGGCACCCCGCATCTCCTCAGCCGGGAACGGTTCAGTTCACATCTCATTCACGAAATCCACTGAAGCTGAGAACTCATTTCGGGCCCCATTCGGGTCCTTTTTCCATGCTGAAACCCCTTGCAGGCCTTTGCGAGTAGGGACCCGGGATCCGCATGCTGCTTGGACCGCAAAGAATCCATCTCGCGACTGGCCGGACACCGCAGGGTAAACGGTCAGAGTCAAAGGCGCTTGCATGGGTTGCGGGCTTGAAGCGGATTTTGGGCAAAGAAGGTCGGGCTTTGGGGCAAAGATGGATTTGATGAGAGGATCCAAGTGATCCAAACAGTTGTATATCACATATACTTATTTGTTATAGTTATATATATATACCATTTATCTATGCATGTATATTTAAACTCCGCTCCAGGACCCCTTCGGCCTGGCTTCGAGCTCGTGTTTCACATCGCTGGATGACAGCTGTGCCTCCCAGCCTTGGGGCTCCCAGCTGGGGATTCGGGATGCTTAGGGTTTAGGGTCGCACTACTTGCAGTCGTGCTCTTTGGGGCCCCAAGCTGCGATGGTTTGCATGACCGTCCTCCCCAGAAAAAGCCACAAGAGCCACATCTGTCAGAGATGTCTCGTGTGGTAATGACGGCTTCTTTGCAGTGCCGGTCCTCAGGAATCGGCGGTAGCGACTTCATCATTTCCTGGAAGAACGGCGCAGCTGCAAGGGAACGGCAAGGGTGTGCAGAATCCAGGATCCTGCCTTGGTTTTTCGTTCCATTTCCAGCTTCTTCCTTTCTTCCTCTCTGCGGGCTTCTTCCATCTTCTTCTCCTCCTGCAGGTGAATCTGTGAATGCAAATGAGAACTGCTGCTTGAACTTGAGCTTGCCCATGTCCTCTTCTCTCAGCTGCTGCTGCTTTGCAGCTGCGGCCTCAGACAGCAAAAACCCACCGCCACTGCATTGGGCGTCACTTTGCTAGACCTTCTCCGCGGATAGCTTCTTCTGGGACGCTGAGGCCTGACAGGTTGACATGGGACATCGCGGCACGGCCCTCGCCGGAGTTCACCCAGGCTTTAGGCCTTCTCCGGGAGCTTCTTTGGCTCCGGGACGGCATCAACTTCCTGAGCGCAGGCAGCCAGCGCCAGGCCTCTGATGTACCAAACATACAGCCACCAGAGCACCTCGTCATCATCTCCACCCTCGTCCTCATCCTGTCCGCTGCCCCACAAAAGATTCAGATACTTCGGCAGCAGTTTGGACATCTTGCGCCTGACCATCCTGTCCCTCCGCACTCTGCGGCTGCTTTGAGCCGCTTGCATGAGGGTGGCGTTGTTGGGTCTCACCGCCAGCATTGGGCGGCGGCGGCTGCTGCTGCTGCTGCTGCTGCTGCTGCTGCTGATGTTGGGGGTGCGGCTGGGAGTGCTGCCAGCCTTGATGCTGGTGCTGGGGTTGTGGGTGCCCTTGCTGGCCCCCATGCTGCCAGCCTTGGCCTTGTTGTTGTTGCTGCCATCCCTGCTGCCAACCCTGCTGCCCTGAATGCTGGTTTGCATTTGGGGAATGCTGATTCTGGTGCTGGTACTGGGAATGGAAGCTCAATGCACAGCGCGTTGAATAGGACCTGCGGGCTGGAGACCGAATTCTCCAAATCCCTTGCTGACTCTTGCGCAGGCTCTACGAAGCAACAGAGGGTGTTCAGAGTACTTAACAGCCCGTTAGACACCCGTGCCCGCGTCCGCCTCGACGAGGCTGAGGCTTTCCCCTCAAATGGCCAGCTGCTTGTGGAGTTGTCCTGCCGGCAGCGCAAGCAGTACATATGTACATGTATGTGCTGTGTAGAATATCTATATCTATATCTATATATATATATGTGTGTATATGCATGGTACTCGCCCCCCCTCCCCCCCGCCCCAGTGACCTACCCTTTTCTTTCCCTGTCTGAGGTCACTACGAGCAAGATGTGGCTTAACGGTTGTCTTTTGTGGTGCGACAAAAATTGTCAAAGTCAAAACCGAAAACCAAAGCACACAGACAAAAATCAAAAGCAAAAAATATGACTTTCCAGAACTCCTGGAGCCGGCAGGAAAATCCCGGAAAGTTTGTCTTGTTTTTTTGTGTTTTGTTTTCTTGTTTTTTTCGGGTTTTGTACTTCTGGTTCTGGCCTTTGCGTTTTGTACTAGTAGTTTTTTTGTGACGTACAAACCACGCCCTAGAAGGTACTACGCATTCTATGCCTTTCTCGTAGAGCCCATGGCAATTTCCCAAAGGCTCGAAGGGAGTATAGGGCAGTATAGGACAGTATAGGAATAAGAACTCGAGCCTCCATGTCGTCCCTCTCGTATGTGAAGGCCGGGCTTTATCCGCCGACCCCAGCTGGAGAGCGGGGGAGGCGCTAGTGAAGACCCATAGTCTTGCCGCTCTCTCCGCCACTCCGCCCGCTCCGCCCGTTCCATCGCATGGCCCCCATGCCTCCATGCCCTCGACCCCGGCTCCAGCTCATGGCCCCAGGATCCCACATGGCTGCCACCACCCACACCTCATGGATGTTTTGGCATTCTTTTAGGGGCTCCAGCTTATGGCCCCCTCCCCCGCACCATCCCCACACCCCCTCCACCCCCCCCCCCCCCCCCCCCCCACCCTGCAACCCTGCCGCCAATTTGCTTCCTTCACTCCACTCCCCCGCACCATCCCCACACCCCCCCCACCCCCCACTCCCCACTGCCCTGTCCTCCGCCTGTAGGCCTAGCCCCTACCCCCTACGCCGCCCCTGACCAATTTCTCGTGTTTTGGGGGTTCCAATGCACGCCCGCCCTGACCCCCTCCCCGCCCTCACCGCTCTCATCGCTCCGGCTCCCTATGCCCCCGAGTTACTTCCTAATCCAACACCAACCCTCACTCCCCCCTGCACAGTCACCCCCCCCCCCCCCCCCACCCCCCCCCCACACCTGCCCCTTCCCCACCGCACCTACCCCCACCCCCCACCCCCCCCACAACTCCCCACTGCCCTGTCCTCCGCCTTTCGGCCCCTCCCCTGCCGCCAATGCCTGCTCCCTAATTCAACACCACCCTCACCCCCCCCTGCACAGTCACACCCCCCCCCCCCCCCCACCCCCACCCCCCCCCCCCCGCCCCCCCCCACCCCCCCCCACACCCCCCCCACGCCTACTCCTCTTCGAAACCTTGCCGCCTATTTGCTTTCACTCCCCCGCCCCCCACCCCCCCACGCCCGCCCCCCCACACCCCCCCACGCCTACTCCACCCGCCCCCTTCCCCACCACACCCACCCCACCCCCCACCCTGCCCTGTCCTCCGCCTGTAGGCCTAGCCCCCACCCCCTACGCCGCCCCTGACCAATCTCTAGTGTTTTAAGGGTTCCAATGCACGCCCGCCCTGACCGCCCTCCCCGCCCTCACCGCTCTCATCGCTCCGCCTCCCGATGCTAAAACACGAGAGCTTGGTCAGGGGCGGCGTAGGGGGTAGGGGCTAGGCCGACAGGCGGAGGACAGGGCAGTGGGGAGTGTGGGGGGGGTAGGGGGGGGGGGGGGGGTGCAGGGGGTTAAGCAATAGGCAGGTTTTTGGTGGGGGTTGGGGGGGGAGGGTGTGCGGGGAGATCGGTGAGAGCGGAGGACCCATGGGGCAGGGGGGGGTGGGGCTTGGGTGCGGTGGGGGTGGTGTGGGTGGGCGGGGGGGCGTTGGAGGGGGTGTGGGTGGTGCGGGAGCGTGGTGAGAGCGTGAGGATCATGTAGGAGATGGTGTGGGAAGGGGGCGGGGGTGTCTAGGGTGGGGGTGGGGTGGGGGGGGGTGGGGTGGGGGGGGGAGGGTGTGTGATTTGGGAGTCACTCGTGGCAAGGCGGAGCGATGAAGCGGTGAGGGCGCGGGTCAGGGGCGTCGTAGGGTCGGGCTAGGCCAGGACAGGCAGGGGTGGGGGGCGGGGGGGTGGGGGGGTGGGGGTGGGGGGCTTGGGGGGGGGGGGGTGGGGGGTGGGTGCGGTGGGGAGGGGGGGGGTGACTGTGCAGGGGGGAGGGTTGGTGTTGGATTAGGGGGGCATAGGGAGCGAGAGCGGTGCGGTCAGGGCCGAGCTTATGCAACACCAACCCTCACTCCCCCCTCCACAGTCCACCCCCAACCCCCCGACACCCCCACCCCATCCACCCCTACCTCCCCACGCCTACTCCGCCGCCCCTTCCCCACCATCTCCTTCCATGGTCCTACCGCTCTCCCCCGCACCATCCCCACACCCCCTCCCCCCCACCCTGCAACCCTGCCGCCTATTTGCTTCCTCACTCCACTCCCCCGCACCCTCCCCACTGCGCTGTCCTCCGCCTGTAGGCCTAGCCCCTACCCCCTACGCCGCCCCTGACCAATCTCTAGTGTTTTAGGGGGGGGAGGGGTTTCCAACGAACGTCCCCCCCCCCCCACCCCCCCCCACCCCCCCCCCACACTCCCCACTGCCCTGTCCTCCGCCTGTAGGCCTACCCCCTACCCCCTACGCCGCCCTGACCAATCTCTCGTTTTTTAGAGTGCAAACGCACTCCCCGCCTGACCGCCCTCCCGCCCTCACCCGCTCTCAATCGCTCCGGCTGCCGATGATGCCCCCGATTACTTCCTATCCAACCCAACCTCACTCCCCCCGCACATCACCCACACCCCCCCCCCCCCCCACCCCCCCCCCCCACCACCACCCCCCCCCCCACTCCCCCATCCCCCACCCCCCACCCCCCCCCACCCCCACACTCCCCACTGCCCTGTCCTCCGCCTTTTGGCCTAGCCCCTACCCCCTACGCCGCCCCTGACCAATCTCTAGTGTTTAGGGGTTCCAATGCACGGTGCCCTGACCGCCCTCCCCGCTCCCTAATTCAACACCAACCCTCACTCCCCCCTGCAACGGCACACCCCCCCCCCCCCACCCCCCCCCCCCACCCACGCCCCCCCCCAGCCCCCCCCCACACCGCCATGCGACTCCTCCGCCCCCCCCCACACCCCCCCCCCCCCCACACTCCCCACACCCTGTCCTCCGCCTGTCGGCCTAACCCCAACCCCCTACGCCGCCCCTGACCAATGTCTGGTGTTTTAGGGCCCGCCCTCCCGCCCTCACCGCTCTCACCTCCACAGTTACCCCCCCGAAACCCCACCCCACCCACCGCACCCCCACCCCTCCACACCCCCACCCCGACCTCCCCACGCCTACTCCGCCGCCCCTTCCCCACCATCTCCTTCCATGGTCCTCCCGCTCTCACCACTCTCCCCCGCACCATCCCCAAACCCCGCCTCCACCCGCCCCCCCCCCCCCCCCCCCACCACCCTGAAACCTGGGCCCGCTATTTGCTCCCCTCCACTCCGCCGCACCCACACCCCCCACCCCCCCCCCAGCCCGTCCTTTGTCTGTAGGCCTAGGCCCTTCCCCCCTCCCCCCCCCCCCCCCCCCCCCCTCCCCCAGCCCCCCCCCCCCCCCCTCTCTCCCCCCCCCCCCCCCCAACCCCCAACGCCGCCCCTGACCAATCTCTGGTTTCAGGGGTTTCCAATGCAAAACGCCCGCCCAACACCGCCCTTCCCTCCCTCACCGCTCTCATCTCTCCGTCTCCCTATGCCCCCGAGTTTACTTCCTAATCCAACCGCGCCCCTCCCCACCGGGCCGCACCCCCCCCCACCCCCCACCACCCCCCCCACACTCCCCACTGCCCTGTCCTCCGCCGGCCTACCCCCTGCCCCCTACGCCGCCCCTGACCAATCTCTGGTGGGGGTTCCAATGCACGCCCGCCCTGACCGCCCTCCCCGCTCCGTATTCCACAACCAACCCTCATCCCGCCTGCACAGTCACCCCCCCCCCCCCCCCCCCCCCCCCCCCCCCACACCCCTACTCCGCCCGCCCCTTCCCCACCTCACCCACCCCCCCCTCCCCACTGCCCTGTCCTCCGCCTGTAGGCCTAGCCCCGACCCCCTACGCCGCCCCTGACCAATCTCTGGCGTTTAAGGGTTCCAATGCACGCCCGCCCTGACCGCCCTCCCCGCCCTCACCGCTCTCCCTAATCCAACACCAACCCTCACCCCCCCCTCCACAGTTACCCCCCCCCACCCCACCTCCCCCGCACCATCCCCACACCCCCTCCACCCCCCCCCCCCCCCCACCACCCTGAAACCTGCCGCCTATTTGCTTCCACTCCCCCGCACCCACCCTCCCCACTGCCCTGTCCTCCGCCTGTTGGCCTGCCTCCAATGCACGCGCCCTGACCGCCCTGCCCGCCCTCACCGCTCTCATCGCTCCGGCTCCCTATGCCCCCGAGTTACTTCCTAATCCAACACCAACCCTCACTCCCCCCTGCACAGTCACCCCCCACCCCCACCCCCCCCCACGCCCCCCCCACCCCCCCACACCCCCCCCTTCCCCACCCCACTCCGCCTGTAGGCCTAGCCCCTACCCCCTACGCCGCCCCTGACCAATCTCTAGTGTTTTAGGGGTTCCAACGCACGCCCACCCTGA